ACTAGTATGTTTAGAAATTATTAAGAGCCCTATGTTAGAACCGCTGCAGACTCAGACTTGAATCATTGCAGCGAGTGCAGACACCATCATGCTGGCTGCAACAGAAAGGCGTGTAGCACCTGCAACGCCGCCACCTGGGCTTTAGGGTTTAAAGCTTGTGAGGTTGGGCTTTAGGGTTTAAAGCTTGTGAGGTTTTGTAGGGCTCACAGGCTTGTTGGGGGGGCCCTAGGATTTTCAGAGCTTCTAGTACGGTTTATGGGGCAGGGTCTATGGAGCTTCAGCCGCTGAACCTTGTCGGACGGAGAACCACGGGCAGTTCAGGGTTGGGTGCTCAATTTCAAGGCTTTATCAAGATCCATCTCTACAGGGAAAGTGTACGTTTTAGGGCCCCCGGGGCTTAGTCAGGGTTCATCCTTAAGCAAGATCGACCTACTTTCTGTTGACGGTTTTTGGTTGTAATCTGTCTCAACGCGATGGCAAAACCGCCATGCGCGCGCTCGACACCAGTCTAGCCCTGCAACCTGGCCCACCCCTTATAGTTTAAGGTCCTTAATTAATGGGTGTTGACGGGGCTTTTTGGGTTTGCGTGAAACTTCTGCTCAAAATGACCCAGACCCTCTCCCCTAAACCCCTAAACCCTAAACCCTTAAACCTCTGCATGTTCAGCTCATGGCCACCTTGAACGCATATGCAAAACTGAGCAGCTCAAGCCGCAAAAGCCCGAAACACGGCTGGGGGGTAGGACTTAATTGGGAATATCCCACCTACCTTCATCTCACCTTCTGAGGCCTCTGATCTGAACTTCTTCAGCACCCAGAAACGCACTGTGTAGGCAGGTACTGCCCCGCTACAGTAAGAGTCTATAATAATAGGGCTACTGTTAAGGTCCTAATATATCTATACTATGAATATTTAACTATTACTGAGTGGGGGCCGTACCCGAGGTGTAGGGTTTAATTTCAATTTTGACGGCTTGGAGTGGAGGGGTGTGGGTTTTGGGCTTGGAATTTGAAGGCTCGGAGTTTGACAGGGGCTAGGGTTTAGTGGACAAGCGCCTTGGACCGAGCAGGATCCCTGATAGGCGAACCAGCCAGCCGGCAATGCATCGCTGGTGTTGCCGTCCACACACACCTGCAAGCGAAGGCTCATAAATCCTAAACCCTAAACAAACCCTCAACTCCAAATTCGAAATCAGGTTCCAAACGGGAAAACCTGCTCAAAACTTCCGGCCAAAACCTTTAGGCACCCAAACCCTCAACAGTATCTTTTTGGGTTTAGGGCCTATGCAGAGGCCAGATCAAGAAACCCTGGTCCCCCCAAAAAAGTGAAGAACCCTCTACCGAACCCCAACAAGAACCCAAGGCTTCTTAATCAGGCTCCTACCTTAGCCTACCAAACCCGACTTTTGTGTAGGTTCTTATTATGACCCCTATTATGGAGTTTATGGGGACCGTACTTTTTTGTAGGTTTTGGTAGGTGAAAGTATATCATCTTTTCCGAAGCCATTACGGTTTAGGGTTTTGGGTTTAGGATAAAACCCCGAACCCTAAACTAAACCCTAAACCCACTCTTCAAAGTAAGTAGGGCCTTTCTCTTCCATGCGTCGCCATTTACAAGGTGTGGGACCGGACCGCAAGCTAGCACTGGGTCAAAAGTCCGACATGCAACCCTAGATCCTAAACTCAAAGCCCCAAACCCCAAAACTACTTCTGAGACTCACTGGGTTTAGGGTGGTTTCAGCTTTAGGGTTTTATGTGGGTTGGAAGTTGGACGTGGAGGTCAGGGTGTTTTTTTTTGCTGTTGTGGCCCCTTTTTGCTCGGGCCTCGTGTCAATGGTTTCTAGAATTTTTTTTGCTGCGGTCCCAGGGCGTGCAAGGTGTTTTTTTTTTTTGCTCCGGCCCCGCCGAAAGGCAGGGGAAAGAGCGGGGCCAGAGCAAAAAAAAAAACACCATCCAGACCCCTGCCCCGGAAGGGTCGCCCCGCCCACAGTGACTGAGTGAGCTTCCAGGCGGGGCCGCAGCAAAAAAAAAACACCCCGACGGCGAGCGGGGCCGCAGCAAAAAAAAAACACCACTCCGGCGGAGGAGAAAGCATCGCTGCCCAGGCCCGCGCCCCGAAAAGGTCGCCCCGGCCCACAGTGAGTGAGTGAAGCGTCCGGGCGGGGCCGCAGCAAAAAAAAAACACCACCCAGACCCTGCCCCGGAAGGGTCGCCCCGGCCCACAGTGAGTGAGTGAGCTTCCGGGCGGGGCCGCAGCAAAAAAAAAAACACCACCAGACCCTGCCCCGGAAGGGTGCCCCGGCCCACAGTGAGTGAGTGAGCTTCCGAGCGGGGCCGCAGCAAAAAAAAAAACACCATCCAGGGGGTGTTTTTTTTTTTGCTGCGGCCCCGCTCGGAAGCTCACTCACTCACTGTGGGCCGGGGCGACCCTTCCGGGGCAGGGTCTGGGTGGTGTTTTTTTTTTTGCTGCGGCCCCCGCCCGGACGCTCACTCACTCACTGTGGCCCGGGGCGACCTTTCGGGGCGCGGGCCTGGGCAGCGATGCTTTCTCCTCCGCCGGAGTGGTGTTTCTTTTTTTGCTGCGGCCCCCGCCGAACTCGGCGAGCCAATAACAAAAAATGTATGGTGTACTACATCGGGTCTAAAAAGACCCGGCGGGGCCACAGCAAAAAAAAAAACACCACTTCCGGACGTGGAGGGTTCGGGGTGGGCTTCTGTTTTGGGTGTGGACGGCGGAGATTTTGGGACTCTGACCCCCGGGAGGATCTAGAAAGTAGATCCCCTAATTTGGGGCCCTATACTACTAAGGGCACTTTATAGGAACCCCCCAATAAGGGATCTACTTTTTGGATCCTCCCGGGGGTCTGGGGAGAGGAGTGTGCGAAGTTGTGTTTTTGGTCTGTCTACTAAAGGGGCCTTCATAATTCGAACAGGGTTTTGGGGCCCGTCATACCAAACTTTGCTATACTTGCAATAAGGAACCCCGACAATACGGTTGATGGTACAAATCCTGCATTACCCATAATGAGGAACATACCATAATTCCCATAGTTTAGGGTCCTTAAGGTAATGCAGGATTTATACCATCAACCGTAGTATTGCTCGAAAGTTCAGGGTTTGGGGTCTTTGGTCGCGGGATGTCGGGACCTGCCTGCTCGCAGGGGAGCTCCACCTCTACATGAGCACCCGAACCTGGGTTCTGGAGTTTATGTTTAGGGTTTAGGGTTTAGGGTAATTTAAGTTAACATAGCAAAGAAACTTTATTATGTACTATAGATCCCTGATATGATAACTTAAATTAAATTCCTTACTAGGTTCCTGAGTAGCCCCAACCTTTTTCCTACTACTCGGTGTAAATGAAGGGACGCAAAAACAAAAAGGGCAAAAGGGTACTACACTGAACCCTAGTAATTAGACCCTAAACCCCTATAGATCCCTGTTAGAAGCCCTGTAAGGATCCCTGAAAAAGCCTCTTTAAGGAACCCTTTAAAAAGGGTGCTAAATTCCTTAACAAGAACCCCAAACCCTAAAACAAGAACCCAGGAACAGTCCAGGCTGGAGTTGTACATTTCGTTCACGAGGTTGTTGTTGCTGTTGAGCTCCAGCTTCTGAGACATCGCCTGGGTTTTTGGTAAGGAATTTCACTTAAGTGACCATAATAGGGATCTATAGTGGGCTTCTTTGTTATATGGAAACTTAAATTAAACCCCTTAACAAGAACCCAGTAGCTGTGACTTGACCATTCGACACCCTGCCCATGGCGCGGCATCCCAGCGGCATCGAGTATTCTGCCTCTAGGTTCGCTTCGTTGCATCCTGCTGCAGTGTACATCTTCATGGTGACCACGGTCTGCTCCGTGCAGGACATATACTTGGTGTACTGGTCGATGCATGTTGACAAATCGAAGGATTGTTCCTCCGTAGCGTTGCTAGCACATGCCGCATCAGTGTGCATGGCCAAGGAGGCCCCAGTGCTGTTGCAGCTCATTGCAGCGAACCCACTGCCACCGCCATTCTGCATGCAGCCGGCGACCATGTACTCCGTGCGAACCACTTGCCCGGTGCAGCCGGAAGTCTCGTACGTGTTCTTCTGGAGAACCACTGCGGCATGCGTGCCTCGCACATCAGGGACTCAAGCAGCAGTTTGACTGAAAACACATTCACACACACATATCTCAACGACTAGCACTGCTGCAACGGGTATCGGATGGAAAGATAAACGGCAAGCATGGAAGCGTGTCTGCCATTGTTTGACCTAGAAACATCGTGGCCATGGACCAAGTGTTCAATCTCCTGCATAAACTTTCTTATACTGGTTCTGTGAAATCCGATTTTTCTCCTTACCGCCTGCTCCAAGCATCAGCGCCACTGCGCAACGCATCCACATGCCCGGCATTCCCGCGACTGATTTCGGCAAGATCGACTGCTGAGTGGTCCGGCAGGAGTCTGAAATGCTGACAGCGGCCGGGAATACATGACAAGAACTCTGAATACGTATCAACAGAAGATCCACGACTCCTAGGCTTTGGGAAAATTTGGATTTAACACTTGCATCCTTGGCTCTCTGCACGGCAACCTAGACCCTGAACCAGGACCGACATAATTAACCTCTAAACCCAAGACTCCTAAACCCTGAAAGCACGCATGTGCTCGTGCCCAGCGCGACAAATCCTTTGCCATTGAGGCACCTGGTTGAAGCGAGGTCCTAGCTACGTGGGTGAAACCAAGCTTGCAGATTTCTTACCTGCATGTAGGGTTTCATTCAAGGTTTTTAAGGCGCCAAGACTGGTGTTGATAGTCTTGCTCCTACTAACCCCAAGGGGTTCGGACTCGTATGACTTTCTGTCGTCGTGGAAGTGCCCTTGTCGAAGGACTCCTGAGTTAATGCTCCAGTCATGCAATAGAGAACAGCGCTACTAATATATGACATAAAAACAAAACCGATGCGCAAAGACATGATTGTGATGATGTTAGAAAAGCTACACCAACAACAACTGCACGGTCTTGGCTGCAAAGTAGCGACATCCGGGACCCAAATGTAAACACTAGAAAGTAGAATCCTCATTGCAAGGACGACCCAGAGTGGGTACCATACCCCTCCTCAGTCTCCTCAGTGTAAGGCCCCCCAAGGTTTGTTCAAGAAATCCACAGCATCAAGCTTTGTACAGATCGACTGAGTTTTAGTCGCCAGCCATCTTCGGGGGCCCGAAAAGACCACATAGGCACAAGGATCTCGAAAAGGATGCGCGGGGTTTAGGTTTGAGGAGGTTGCAGCTACACGAGGTTGCTGGAACTCCGCGCGCTGTGGCAGCTCGTGCCCGCATCTAAAAAAGGGGTCTGAAAGGTGAGTTGCAATCACATCTCACTTATACTCGCTACACGCTTTAAGCTGCTTACGATGCAAAAAAAACATGTCATGCTCCAATGATCACATGCTTACGATGCAAAAAAACACTATACTCCACTCAGGCCTCTCTTCTGGGATCCTCATGTTTTTGCGGTCTTTGGGGCCGCTATCCTTTCAGACAGCCAGAGCTCCTTTGTAGGGAAGACAGCGCATGGCCGAGAGGATGGGATAGGGCTCCTTTAACAGATCTATGAGGGATCTATAGGGTGTAGGGTTTCGGTTTGAGGGTTTGGGGTTTGGGGTTTTGGGGGTTTAGGGTTTAAGGTTTCCCAGAAACACCAATATCCCTTAATTAGGGAATATTCCTTAAACTCTATTATGGATCTTGTTATAAAGTTAAGTATATTCCTGAATTAAGGGATATTGGGGTCTCTGAGTTGGCATGGGTTGGCTTCACGAGCTGGGCTGGGCATTGAAGGTTCAGGGTTTAATATGAGGGACCTAAACCTAAGAACACTATGTACATAGATCCTAAAACCTTGAACCCAAAACCCCAAGACCTTGAACCCCAAAACCCTAGAACCCTCAACCATAAAACCGAAACCCTAAGTTAGGGCATTGAGGCTTTCGGGCAACTTGCCGTGTTGGATGGTTAGGTACCTGCACGGTTCACTGCCGCATGAAGGCACCCACAACAACGAGGGTTGAGGGCTTTATCACGGTGGCAGCCAAACAAGGACTCTGATTTTCGGGCTCTTAGGATTAACCTGCGACTTATCCTCAAGCGCGCTGCCCTCTTCCACGTCGCCGGCTTATCGGGTCTTGGGCTTAAGTTGCAGACTGTCCCTCTACATTCTGGTGATCTGAGGGGCTTAAGGGGTTTTAGGGGTTAGGACTTTAGGGCTTGGGGTTTAGGGTTTAGGGGCCCTGAACCTTAGGGGCTTCAATCAAGCCCAACCCCAACCGCCAGCCACACCCAGCCCAGACAGCCAGCCCAGCCCAGTTCCCCCAAAAAAAAGCAATCGGGTTCCCGGCCCCTGACTCCGACACCCCCTCACAGCCCCGAAACCAAGATCAGGATCCACCCCATCCCCCGCGCCCCAGCTCCGAAATCAAGTTCGAAAAGGAAACCTGCTCAAAACGTTTCGCTCAAAACTTTCGCTCACCCAAACCCTTAACAATTTCTATGAACCATCAAGAGCAGGATAAATAGAAATATCGTTTCGATTTGCAGTTTCATTAGTTTCGAAACTTCATTAAATGTGTGGGCAGAGATCCCAGCCCAATTCCAAGCCAATATCCAGGCACACCCACCCCAGCCCAGCTCCAGCCCACCCCGACCCCAGCCCAGAGCTTCAAAGCACAAAACAAAACCCGCTTCAAACTTTCGGTCAAAACCCCGGACCCAAACTCGATCTCGCACCGCCACCAAAAGGGCGTCGTCACCGTGGGCGGCGGCCCACGGGGATCACGTCGCCGACTCCGGTCCGTCGGCTCGGACGACCAGCAGGCAGGGCGACGTGCCGAGCTGCGCTGTAGACAGCGGTCGGGTTACACTCAGGCCTCAAATCACGCCCCCGCAGCAAGGCCCGCCGGATGCAGGGCGCAGCTTCTGAGCTGCAGCAATCTGCGAGGAAGCCAGATCTTGCCCAGGTCAAGTGGCCACTTCAAAAAGCTGCGCCCTTGAAAGGGGACACGCTTGTCACAGCAAATTTCGGGCTTCAACAGCTTTTCGCTGAAGTATGCTGTGGAGCGCTCAGCCCGCACACCTAGGCCAGCGGCCTTCAGTTGCGAGCGGCTGAGCTCCATCACGGCCCGCACCGAGTGCTTCTTCGTGGCATCATAGGCCTGCGCAAACAAGGCAATGGCGAAGTGAGGAAAGAACATGTCATGTCCGACCATTGTACAAGGTAGCTGCGATTCTCCGTCCACTGGAAGAAAACTATGTTTCCAGTACTGGGTAAAAGAACAATCTGAGAGTCAGGATTAGGGGACCCCTGGGGATATCGGATATAGACCCTCTCAATATGGCCCCTGTTAAGAGAGCCAGAAGTGGGATTAAGAAGGGTTCCCTTTAAAGGGTTTCCTTAATACTACCTAGGACTATAATGCTGGCCAAGCCTTGTGCGCAATATGCCTCAGTTCCACAGCGTGCTGGAGACTGCCGGAAAGCAGGGGCTTGCGCGACTTCCAAGCAACCAGTGGCGCTCTCTCGGCGTTGGCGCAAGTGTAGCCGCGTGTTTCCAATGTGGGGACTGTGGCGCAGAACTTCAAAAAATCCAGAAGGGTGTACTCCTGAACTCCTCAACCGCCCTCAACTGGGGATCATCCACCCCACTGGGCGTGTTGGCCAGAAACTCGAGGAGGTCAACGTCGGCCGTGAAGAAAACGACATTCCGTCGTAGTCGTAATCGCCGCCTGCCAGCGCCACCGCGCCGTTCCCAATGACACTGCAGATGATGCAGTTGTCTGGGACTAGATCTGGGTTCGCCGGGAGGTCAATCGCTTCCCAAATTTCCACATCCGACGGAAGCATACAGAGGTTCCTCCAAACAGCGAATGTCCCTTTCAAGACGCGCCCCTGGCAGGCAGATGATGTGGCAGCATGTGGCAGCGCTGTGGGCCCAGGTTGTCCCACAAGTCTGGCAGGGCGAAGCACGCACCTCCATGCCCCCGCAGGCTGAGCTACGGCTTGCTTTTTTCACGGGCGGGCAATGCTCTTGTTGAAGCGTCGCCCGCCACGCAGCACCGCGTCTTTTGTGCCCAGCTCGGGGAGGCACCATGGCCTGACCAGCTCCGCTTCCTTGTCGGGCTCCTGCACAGGTGTCGGCCTCTCCACCCGTTCCAGATTGGGGCTGCCCAGGTGCCGTGCCACTGCCCACCAGTCTATACCATGTGAGCCAGAACCCAAGCGCTGAACATCCGAAGAAGACATTGTTTCTGTGACAAACATCTTCGGCTGGCCTGGGACTTCTAATGTAGGAATGGCAACACATGGCACAGAAGACGCCGCTGTGGACGGGCATCCTCCCGTGGCTGTGCCAGCAAATCAACCAAGGATCGGCGACGGCGGCCCGAAGACGAAGATGATGCCGCCTCAGGGTTCCCTTGTGTGTCATTCTGGTCTTGTGCCACAGGAGGGGAAGGCAGTTGCGGACGAAGAAAGCAAACTACTACAAAAAGGGCTTAGGGTTTAGGTTAGGTTTTAATCCGGCCAGCCCGGTACCAAATTTTCCAAATCAGGTTTCAGTCAGGAAACCTGCTCAAACGTTTCGCTCAAAACCTATTGGCACCCAAACCCTTAACAATTTCTATAAACCCTGAAGCACAAACCCTCGAACCCTGACCTGACCCGAAACCTAAAACCTAAACCCTCAGACCGTAAACCCCTGGAACCCTGAAGCGCTGCACTAGAGCCCTAATAATTGGAATAGGGTCTTGCGGGTACATGATGCTATTTTTATAACCAGGAAACCCAAAATAGCACTGGCAATCCTAACCGTGGTAGGGATTCTGAAGCATAGGATCCTTAGAATTGGTAGTTTAAGGGGGGAGGGTACTGGGGAACCTCAGAGAAACTTAGGGAGTGCCAGTTATAATCTTAGGTGCCGAGTTCATAAGCCAAAAAAAGTTTAAACTTTCAGTTTTACGAGGGTTTCATTGTCCCAAAAAGTTTAAAGTTCATAAACTCAGCTACAAAGTAATTTAGGGCTTAGGGATCTCTCCGAGACCAAAGGGCTGAGTGCACGACGGCAATCTTTCACAGCTTCCTCCTCCAGGGCCGTCGGGTTGATGGGCGTTGTTTGTTCGTTTGTTTGTGATTTTGGGTGCATCGAGTGGTAATTCTGGCTTTGAGCTTCTGCTCTTGGGAGTCTAAAATCGGAATCCCAAGGCGCGTTTGTCTCGAGGGGCAAACGAGGACGTGGCTTCGGTGCATTTGCAGGTCACAGCGGCGCGCCCAAAGATCTCTGCTTGCTTGGAGGATCATGGGACTTAGTAAGTAGGTTATAATTGGGGTTATAAGTCCCCTAAATGGGGTTATCCTAATTATAACCTACTTATAACCTTACTTACTAAGTCCCATGAGCCTTTAAGTACAGGTTCGGATCCCGGGTAATTACAAGCTAAGCAAAGCCCCTGGCATTCATCACAGCCTCTGCTTTGCAGGTCATAACGGTAGCAAGATTCTTTTCCTGGGTCCTTTTCAGGAGCCCTAGATGAGAATCTACCTTAATCGGTTCATAACCTATATGCCTAGAAACTCTTTGCAGGTTCCTATCACAGAATCCAATATAGAATTTACAGCATCCCTCCAAACATACACAGGTTTCCTAGCGGGTTTAGGAGTTAGGGTTGAGTGATGCTTTGGGTCTGGAGCTAAGGGTAGACGGACCACAGGGTTTCGGCCAACCCACTCCGGAACCCTGAACCAGGAAAACTTAAACTCAATACCTCACCTTGTTTGCCCAACAACGCGAATCCAAAACCTGTAAACCACAGAACGTTGCACTCTAAACCCGACCCTAAACCCTAAACCCTAAACCTCCAAACCCCTGAGCATCAAACCTCTGAATCCTGCACTCCAAGGCCCTGAACCCCTAAACCCTAAACCTCTAAACCTTAAATCCCTAAACCTCTAAACCCTAAACCCCCGAACCCTAAATCTTAAATCCCTAAACCTCTAAACCCTAAACCCCTGAACCCCTAAACCCTAACTCCGAAAGCCCTAACCTCTAGAGACTCCGTAACCTTCCCAACACTAACCTACTTGTCGGGTATCATGGGGAACTAAAGGTTAACCTTTTTGGTTATATAGGGTTTATATAGGGACTATACTACCCATAAAAGGTTAAATGTTACCTACTCTACTACCAGGTAAAAGCAATCTACACCCGAAAACCTGTACCCTCAATGGTTAAGACAGTCCTTGGCTTCGAAGGTCATCTGACATCGCGGCACAAGACCGGATGCTGCCTGAGGCTTCGGCAGGGCCAGGGTTTACGGGGATTAGCGGCCGTTCGGGTTTGGGACCTCTGGACACTTAGAGGATCATGGGACTTAGTAAGTAGGTTATAACTGGGGTTATAAGTCCCCTAAGTGGGGTTATCCTAATTATAACCTACTTATAACCTTACTTACTAAGTCCCATGAGCCTTCAAGTACTGTTGATGATATAAATCCTGCATTGCCTTAAGGACACTAAACTATGGGAATATTCCTTATTATGGGTAATGCAGGATATATATCATCCACCGTAGTTCCCAAGGTTTTACAGGGCCTTGCTTACATAGGGTCTGCTTTGGGGTTTCTAGGGGGTTGTAGGGTCTTAGAAGGTTTTTCCACCCTTGTGAGAGGTACTTGTAGGGCTTTTTGTAGGCTGCTGAAGGCCGAGAATTCCTAAACACCGAGCCTAAAATCCTAAAAACCTCTGAGAACAACTTCTCATCAGCCCGAAAAGCCCCAAACCGCCGAATGCGAGGGCCTGAACGAGCATGGGGTTTGGGGGCGTATCAAACTGCTGTCGAAGCATAGGATTCCCAATTGATCGGGCTTCGATGTTAAAGCTGAATCCTGGCCCCTTAGAGGAGCTCACCAACAATCTTAAGGAAGAGTATTCGAACAATAAAAATGACAATAGTAATCATCAGAGTCAAAGTGGCATCGGACTCTCTGGGTAGGGCTTCGGGGGAGGGAATTTAGGTCTTACCCTAAACCCTAAACCCTACTTAGGAGTGCATATTTAAGCTACGACCGGGGCATCTAGTCCAGTTTGCCGAGTTCTGCGAATAGGGTTTAGGGTTTAGGGTCCCTAAGTGTGATGTTTCGGCTTTTTCGACTGTTGAAGATTTGAACCTCCTGCTCCGAAAAGGAGTGGAAGCAGAGGCATCTGAGCATGATTTCCTGTTTCTGCGAAGCACCAAAACCAACTTGTGCGCTTTGCCTCTGCCATTCGTGGCCCTCCCCAAACACCCAAGGCGAACAAAACAAAAAAGATGTTATGGCTATGGGTTTCCTGAATCCCAACCACACCCCCTACGTAATATTCGTGGCCTGAATCTGAAAAGAACTGCTGGGACTATCTATTTCCTCAGAGTTCTACTATATTACACGATGATACATGACGATGGCCCAGTCTAATTATTAAGGCCTCGATACCAAGCCCTGATAGACCCCTCATAGGAGCCCCGGAATGAAGGTTTCAACGGAGTCCCATCCTTAACCTTGAGCCGAGGTGCAGAAGTGAGTGTAATTCGCAGTCCACCCGTGCGGCCGCATCGACGATTTCACCGGGCCTCAGCAATTTCTCGCTGACTCGCTAAGCTTCATCTGGTTGTTTGCATATGTCATAGACGTACGTAATACATATGTCATATATACATATACATATGCAGATGCACAGGCACATCCATCTGCAGATGCATCTGGGTATGTATATATGCATGCAGTCAGTATATTGTATAGCATATGCATGTATGCCATAAACGGTTCTATAGAGTTTGTTTCGGAGCATTCGAGGCTTATATAAGCGTTCTTTTCGTTCCTGCAACGTTTGAGGGGTCAGGGCCCCTGGAAAAAAACGCTAAGCCCTCCCTAAACACCCGAACCCCTAAACCCGTAACCCCTAAACCCCGACACCCTAAACCCCAAAACCCTAAACCCTAACCCCTAAACCCTAAACCCCTAAACCCTAAACCCTAAGCCCCTAAACCCCTAAACCCTAAACCCCAACACCCTAAACCCTAAAACCCTTGGAAACCCCTAAAACAGGAAATCATCTGGGACGCTGGAGCTTGGGGTCTCCACTTCGGGAGTTCTTTAGCGTAGGGTTTAGGGTTTAGGGGTTTAGGGTTTGGGGTTTAGGGTTTAGGGTTTGGGGTTTGGGGTTTAGGGTTTAGGGTTTAGGGTTTAGGGTTTGGGGTTTGGGGTTTAGGGTTTAGGGTTTGGGGTTTAGGGTTTAGGGTTTAGGGGTTTAGGGTTTAGGGTTTAGGGTTCTCCGGCTTTGCAAACCTTAGGCCCTAAAGTAGCGCCTTGGTCTGGTTCCTTTAATAGGCTCCTTTTAAAAGTTTCTTTACAGATTCCTTTAAAAGGTTTCTTTATATAGGTTCCTTTAAAAGGCTTCTTTACAGATTCCTTTAAAAGGTTATTTTTATATAGGTTCCTTTAAAAGGCTTCTTTACAGATTCCTTTAAAGGGTTTCTTTATAGGGTCCTTTAAACTCGCGTGTGAAGAGCGAGGCTGTTCGTTCTATAATTTCGCACCAAGTTCTCGGCATTTCTCGGCAATCCCAATGATAGCCTTGTCCTTCCGTGTCAGTGACATTTCAGCAGCTGCGCCCCATCCGGTCCGAAGAGTTGGCTCAGGGCCCTTGCCACACTGAAGAGTCCCTTGGGAGCTTCACTCTCGTTGAGGCTGGCCCCAAAGGCCGCTCCGGATCTGTGGAACCGTTCCCACTCCGTTGCCTCCAGATCGGGTGGAGCTGGATAAAGCAAGGCCTGCAAACGAATTGCCGATTGGGTGGAGCTGTGCCGGGCATCTTCGCCGCCCTAAATCCCAATCCCCATTTTGGGGGAACCTTTCATGCAAAATCTGGCTCTGGGTTTGTTATTCAAAACCCCGAATCCCATAAACTCCTCAAAACCCAGAAACCCCCAAAACTTTGACCGCTCCGGCAAAATACGTTCATGCAGCCTACTGGCTGCATGGACTTTAGACTTCGGGACTATTAACAAACAAATTCCAAAAAGCAGCCCTAAGCCACCAAAACGACCCAAAGCTCAGAAAGCCTTACCCTCCCAATAGAATCCTTCCAGAACCCGTACTGCAAAACACCCTCAAAAGCCCTAAACCCTAAACCCCTAAACCTTAAACCCTAATCAAAAACACAGGATGCTGAACGAACCCTCTGTCTTCCACCCCACAGCAACCCTGTCAGGGACGCCAGCGACCCCTATGGCCAAAAACTCGAAACTCAAACCCACTAAACCCCAAAACCGCTCAACCCCAAACAAACTGCGAAACTGTAAGCAGTAAGCCCCAAATACTGTTAAACCCTAAACCCTGAGCCCTAAATACCCTAAACCCCTGAACCACCCCAAACCCTGAACCCTAAATATCCTAAACTGAGACCCCTGAACCCTGAAGACTTTGAACCCCCTACTTCAAACCCCCAAACCCCAAAACTCTCGAGACAAATTTCCTCCAGCCGAAAACCAAAAAACCCTACCGTAACAGTTTTTTGTAATTTATGGTAACCTTACAATAACCATCTTGTAACCTTTATAGTAACACTGAAGAAACCTAACCCTAAAACCCAGAACCCTAAACTTTTGCAATCTTCTAACGTATACTAGCATGATCAGAACCCTGGAAACACCCCTAGAAAACCTTAGAACCGCAAACCCTAAACCCCCTAAACCCTGAACCCCACCGAAGCGCAGTACACTAAACCACGCCCTTCACAACTTCTCATTCAGCAAGACCCTTATCCCAGACCCCCCCTGGAGGATCCAAAAAGTAGATCCCTTAATGGAGGTTCCTATAAAGTACCCTTAGTAGTATAGGGCCCCAAATTGGGATCTACTTTCTTGATCATCCCAAGGGTCTGGGTACACGAACCCTAGAAACCGTATATGGACCCTTAGCAACCCTCATAGAAACCCTGCACCGCTCAAGCCTTAAATCCCAGAGCCTGAACCTGGAAACCCCACCTAGACCCCCCAGTTACCCTCTACTTTACTTGGCCCGAAATAACATCCTATCCTGAACCAAAAGAGCCCTATTTAAACGGCACTTATTACTCTGGGTTCTTGAATCCTTTCGAAACCGGAGCCTAGACCCTCAACCCCAAAAGTCTCAATAATGAAGGCCTTAAACCCTTGCAATGAACAAGGTCTGTGATGTCCACCCAGAGCCTCCAATACCCTTTACCGAAGCCATATACCTTAAGTCATAAGAAGATTCTTAATTTAATGATCTAAGGCATATTCCCTAATGAACTTGCTTTGGAATCTCTGGGCATAAACCCGTAACCCAAAACCCTCAACCCTAAAAGCTCGAAGCCCTAAACCCCTAAACCCCTAAGCCCTAAACCCCTAAACCCTAAACCCCTAAACCCTAAACCCCTAAACCCCTAAACCCTAAACCCTAAACCCCTAAGCCCTAAACCCGATCTTTGCAGCAAAGCGTCACACCGGCCAAGGCCTTTCTTGCTCGAACGGGTTTGTGCTAAGGTTACGTGAGGGACGTTTTAGGGTTTTGGGGCTTTAGGGCTTTAAGGTTCCAGTAAGCTTGATATCATGGGTTTTGTGTTCATTTTTTGGGGTTATGATAAGAGTTTTGTAGGTTGTAAAGTTCTTTACAGAGGCTTTGTGCCGAAGCTCGACGACGAGATGGGGTCGGAGAGAGCGTTTTGCAGCGCTTTGCTTGGTGTCTAGAGAATGGGGTTTCGGTGTAGATACTATAACTAGCTTGAGCCCCCGAAATAGTATTGGCAAATATTAAGGTCTCTCATAACATAGACCCCTTTTAAAGGAACCCTCGAAATGGTATTGGTAATTATCAAGTCCTCTGTTTGAACCATGATAATAGCACTCATAGTAGCCCTTATAGACCCCTTTAAAGGGACCCTGCTCAAAGAGTAGTTGACAATGCTTAAGGCCTCTATTTTCACCACAGAGCCCACGACGACGGGCGTAGTCCGAAACGTTGTCAAGTACCCAGAGCCTCCAAAACCCTTCAATTTTGATTCAGGAATATACCTCAAATCATAGTAGGATCCCTGATATGACTTAGGGAAAAGTCCGAAATGTTGTTAAGGTTGAGGGTTAGGGTTGCGGGGTTAAGGGTTCAGGGTTTCGGGTTTAGGGATAGGGGTTCAGGGCCAAGGGAGTTGTTTAGGGACCCAGAGCCTCCAAAACCCTTTGATTAAGGAATATACCTTAAAACATAGTAGGATCCCTGATATGACTTAGGGAAGAGTATTCTTTAATAAAAGGGATAGTGGAGTTTCTGGGTACACAGAAAACCGACAAACACTCCTATAGCCCAATTGCATGAGGTTTGGGAGGCATCTGGGCTGGGAGTTCTTTGGGCTCCGCTGGCGTAACGGATGCGGTGCTGACAAGATGTCGGACGTGCATTTAGGGTTCAGGGGTATAGGGTTTAGGGTTTAGGGCTTTAGGGATTGCGGCAACCTGGTTCCACCTACCTCTTCTACACCCACTGCAGATATTTGGTCGACACACCTTAAGCCCGGAACCCAACCGCGCAGGCCTGCATCAGAGGAGACCCATGCAGCTTCTGCAGCAAGTCCCGTCCGCCTGCTCCCGGCATCGACTATAGGCTTCAGGCTCCAGGTTTTAGCGTAATTGGGTTTATGCGGCGTTTAGCTTGAAAAGGGCTCCTTTTAGGCTTGCTATAAGAGATTAGAGAGAAGCCTTAATCATTCGAACAGGGCTTTGGGATATGGTATCGTAGCATTTTAAAACAACGAGCACCAGGACGGCTTGCAGGTTCCGGAGGCTTATAAAGGAAAGTCGTACGCCGGGACATAGTAAAGGTGCCTACATGTATGCGTATCGATTACTATGCCTGTGCATTTATGCAGAGTCTATTGCGGTGGACCATTTGTTCTGCGCCGCCCCACCAGCAGAACTAGCTTGTTGGTTTTGGCAGTCGCAGGCAGCGGAAAACAAAAGCTGAGTTGCAAGAAGAGCCCTAAACCCTGAAGCATACTGACACCAGCTAGCAGAAAAGGAGGAAGCAAAGTTCTGGGGTGGCCTCGATTACGAAAAGGCTTTGGTGCCGGAGAATCTCGACTGATGTGGTGGAGGTGGTCGACTTGCTCGCACTTAATTATATACGTCAAGCTAGCCAAACTTTGAACCCTCGACCATCATGGCACGCCCTTCCTTGCCTCAGATTTCAGGTCTAGTGGCATTACATCGCACCCCAAACCCTACTTGGAGGATCATGGGGCTTAATAAGTAGGTTATAATTGGGGTTATAAGTCCCCTCAATGGGGTTATCCTAATTATAACCTACTTATAACCTTACTTACTAAGTCCCATGAGCCTTTAAGTAAACCCTAAGCACGACGGCACCGGGACAGCAGCGAAGCGCACGAATTTACGGTCGAGCTTCAGAGCTCCTCCGTCCGTTTGTCGCCTCCTAAATCCCGACCCAATGTCCCTACACCCTAAACTCTCAAGTGCCAAACCAATCAAATCGAATCCTTCGAATTCCGTATTCAAGCCCGAACAGCATCATACTCCGGAAAGCTGGACCCAAAACGCCGTAAACCTAAACCCCCTTGCGGGGTTAGGCCTCAGGGTTTGAATCTCAATGTAATGCCGCGCATAGCTAGCGTAAGGCTTTGACGGTACAGTATGCATAGCATCCTGTTAGGAGAACATTACCAAGATTTCGTGCCACTACATCAGGACTCGGGATCAGGTACTAAACCCCGAGTTCCTAAACCTTAAACTCGCTTCCCAAGCCATCAGCCACGCAAGTCGTGGCTGTGCCTGACAAAGGCTCTGGCGAATCATCCGCCTGGCTTTCATGGCGGATTTTACCCTACGGTCTCGGGTCTAGGATTTAGAAAATGTGCACAGGTGGGAAACCCTCCAGAAATCACACTTTCCTCAAGCCCCTCCTTTGCTGGGCGAGTGTCATGTGAACCACAAAGATCGAACACATGACATTTTCGGCTGCCTACATACTGTAGGGGCTAAATATTTGATTACCTGCTATTGGGCGGTATCCTTATTGAAATATAGTATATGAATACATCCAAGCACTAATTGTCCTTAATCCGGTTTCCAACTTTTGGGGGTCTACTATATGCTAGCTTAGGGAGGACAATGCCAAATTGCCATCCCTGAAGCCAATCCGGTTTAGGGCCCTACATCGTACACCCCTTAACCCCTCAACCCTAAACCTTGGTCTGGGAAGCATTCAGGTACCGGGTGGTGTAGCTTGCGCCGGCGGTTGTCGAATTGAAGGTCCTGCTCTTTGGTCCCTGTTAAGAATTGCGGAACTGATGCAGTCTTTTGGGGGCTCCGAATCATGGTTCTAACATCTATATAGAGCAGCTCAAGCAAACATAGTTATAGCAACCTCGCATCGCAAGGCCGTCAAACTCTGTCTATGAAAGTAAGACAGCCAGCTCTGATACATAAAAGCTTGGCTTCGGGTGCATGATGATCCCTAATCTGATTACCCGTACTGCCCATGCAAAACGACCAACATGCTCCCCTAAACCGTAAAGCCTTAAACCCCCTTAACCCTTAAACCCTAAACCTTCAACCCTAAACCCTAAAGCAGGACTCCTAAACCTTGACCCCCATAAGCAATGAGGCCACCCTTTTGCCTTCTATTTGGTTTTGAGAAGGGAACCCAAACATCACATGGGCAAAAGGGTATTACTCAGAAACCTAGTAATTAGACCCTAAACCCCTATACACCCTGACAGAAGCCCTTTAAGGATCCCTTACAGAGCCCCTTTAAGGAACCCTTCAAAAAGGGTACTACTCAGGAACCTAGCCATGGTAGCCAAGCCACCAGGTCAAAATCTCGCGGGAAGAGCTTACGCACAATCCGGTCGAGAAAGAGCAGCGCAGCATCCTCGCCGCTTTTGGGGTGAACTATAGTGCGCCACATACTTGTCGAGTATCCTGCGGAACTCAAGCTTAACCTTTGGGAGTAATTGGAATTGTGTAGTTGGAGTACCCACAAAGGTTAAAGGTTAAATACCTACTCTAGTACTAGAACTATGTGGCAGTCAACTTCTAGATTTCATATTTGCTAGTGCCATGAGTACCATTGCTGTGCTGATGGCTACTTCACCCGTATACGTAACCAGGATTGAAACTTTGCGCCCTGGTTTTGTATGAACTTTTGCTGAATCTCTGGCGGGTTTTGTAGGTTGGGTTTAGGGTCCTGCACTTTGATGGTCTGACAGAGAGGCCTGGATAATTAGAACACGACGTTGATGGTATCATCATTATGGGAATACTACGGTTGATGATATAAATCCTGCATTACCTTAAGGACCCTAAACCATGGGAATTATGGTATATTCCTTATTATGGGTAATGCAGGATGGATATCATCAACCGTAGGGCATGTCACTAGTTCTTCCGACCTCTATATATGTTATACCCTGACTACGACGGGACTACGTTACAAGGAGATATCACCAGTTCTTCCAACCTGCCTACTTGTCGGGTATCATGGGGAACTAAGGTTAACCTTTTTGGTTTTTTAGGGGTTATATAGGGACTAAACTACCCAGAAAAGGTAAAAGGTTACCTACTCTACTACTAGGCCTGTATATTAGGGTGTATGGTCTTGGGACTGTAAGGGGCAGCAGGTCTTCGTGCCACAGGGCTGGGGATGTAGAGTTCGAAGGGTCTTGGTTAAGAGCTTAGGGTCTTGGGGGTTGAGGTCTGGGGGTTTAAGGTTTTGGGGTTAGGCTCTCGTTTGGGTCTTAAGGGGTGGGCGTGACTGGATCCGCGCAACACCCCGTTTTTGATTGCTTATATCGTAGTCCCTCCACTTTCCCCTAGCACCTTCGGGTGCAGGGTAATGATGCACTTGTAAGGGCCAGACTTCACCCGAAAGCCGCGACAGCGGAAATGGCACCACCTCGCCAACTACTCGTGGGATTGCGAGCTGAGCGTATAAATGACAAATCAGGGAGGCAAAGCCGCAGGCTTTTGTGAAGATAGGTATCGAAGCAAGGAAGTATTGCAGCATAAGATTACGGCTTGGGTCTTGTGCGGCTTGTTGGATGAGGAATGGGTTTTGGTCCACGCAAGGTCTTCTGGGTTAGGATCAAACTGTGCCCTTGAGCAGGGTGTCCCGTTCTTCGAACCTTGATCCACCTACCGCGGCAGCAGCATCACCACCACCACCGCCACCACCACCACCCCCACGTCGAGCAGCATCCGCGCAGCAACAAACAACAAAAACGACGACATGATGGTGATGATGGTGACGGCAAACATAGCCACCATGGTTACAACAACAGGATTGTCATGAACCTCCATTGGTGAACCAGTATCTGATCAGGGGTGAGGTTTGGGCACTCAGAGGCCTGAATAATACTTAGTGGTGATATCGCCCTCCTTCTCGTCTCTATGTGCATATCAACCCACAGACCGTATTCAAATTTTTAGGGCCTCTAAGCCCCTAAAACCCTAAACGAAGCCCAAAAACACTCGACTTTACAATTGAAGGTTCGTGAAAGCTTCCTTTCATTCTGGTCTACACCCTGGCCTTCGTTCAGGGGACTACACGGCTCTGAATTTTCAGGACCTGGACCCTAAGGAACCTACCTTTTTAGGGTTCTCGAATATGATTTCTTTGTATAAGTCCTTAAACAGGCAGGTTACATGGGGTTAAGGGAATTACTACTATCCCGTTATAGTCCGTGCATATACAGTGATATCATACTGCACCCTCTCCAATTCCATTTACGTACTGGCCCCTGTATCACCGCAAACCCCCTAGAAGACAGCTTGGACCACTCATACCTCGCATTCAAGATTCACCTCAACCCCAAGTAACCTCTTCTTTTAAGGTCTTATATAACGAAATCATATTAGGGAACCCTAAAAAAGCTAGGTTCCTTAGGGTCCAGGCAGAGATAACCTGGGAGATGACCAGGAACACGCCATAGCTGAATACAGAGTCATATAGTGGCCTTAGTCATTAGGACTTTGGGGTTCGTAAAGGGATAAACCAACTACACTAAGTATGTTAAATATAAGGACGCGGAGGACAGGTATTACTCCGAAACCCAAAATTACAGGACCTCTTTTCCGCTGCAGAACCCTGCGCCGACGGCCTAAACCCCGAACAGCCGAACTCCGGAAAGAACCCTTATCGAAACCCTTTCAAGAAGCTGAAAGCCTCCTAAACCCTACACCACAAATCCTGAACCCTTACAGTACCACATAAACCCTGAACCCTGAACCTAATGTAGGGGCCTTGATAATTAGAATAGGGTTTGGGGGGATCCTGATTATGAATGTAGTATAATATGCCACAATTCTGTTCTAACTATGAAGGCCCTGGATCCTATATTGAATATAACCTACCACAAGGCCCATTCTAAATATTAAGGCCCTTACATCACCCTAAACCCTAAACCCACCCTTCGTCCCCAAAGGCACCCATGGCCTTGCACGCGTCGAGCTGCGCCAGCTCCCAAGGCCTGCCAGGGCCTCACAAAGCAAGGAGATCGCAGAGGTTTCGGGTAGGGTTCAGGGTTTAGGGTAGTGTACATAGAGGTCTGGGGGTTTTAAAGTTCAGCGGTTTAGGGTTTAGGGTATGTAGAACTGTAAACTCAAGGTTTAAGGGTTACTTACTTAAAGGCTCACGGAACTTAGTAAGTGAGGCTACAAGTCAGGTTACAAGTAGGATAACCCTACTCAGGGCACTTATAACCCCAATTACAGCCTCTAAAATTTCAGGTTCCTGCAGGTGTTTAGGGATTGAGGGTTCATTTTTAGAGCTATAGACATTTAGGCTTCAGGGCTCAGGGTTTACGGCTGTTGTAAAGGTTTGGGGTTTACGGTCCCTGCTAAGGTAGCTAAGGGATCCGGAAGGGTTTACTGGTCCAGGGGTCAATATATGTTGCAAACATGGAATTCGGCACAAAAGACCATCTAATAATGCGTCTGGGGACCTCATTCCATAATAGTAGCACCTATGGACCGTCTGCGTAGTGATACTGTGTTTAAGGCTAGTTTGGCATTGCTACGTATGCATCACGTCGAAACATGTGGCAAGTGCAACCCTGAATCCAACAAGATGACACTAGACCCTGACTTCAAAACTTAAAAAGCTGAGGTAGGAAAGCCCGTAAGCTCCAAAAATGAACCCCTCCGGAGTCTTCGCCGGAAGACAAGAGCGACGAATATCCAGGCATTTTGGAGCTTTATGGTTTATAGTAGAAGCCAGAAAGTTGGAACATGGCTTTGGGAGGATTAGTGCTAGGATCCCTTATACTGTACCTTAAGAGCATGGGGATAACGATGTTCCAACTTTCTGGATTCTACTGTATGGTTTAGGTTTCCAGACCTTGAGCGGTTCTGGATGTTGAGGTTCAATTCTCTTGAGCATTCTCAGCTAAAGAACCCTTGCCAGGGAAACAAACAAACCCTAAACCCTGAACACTAAACCCAAAACCCCTAAACCTTAAACCCTGAAGTCTAAACCGTACCAACTGTGCAACCCACCTTCTCCGGAAGATCGTCTCGTGAGCACCACGCAGAGCTTTGTGCAGGTGCAAAGTAGATCTGAGCACAAGGGAACATGGGGTTCGACTTATACCCCCAAAGGGCCATAGTTTCGCGGCCTTACCAATTTTTTATCGGGCTTCGGGGTATGCTATCTTAGAGTTGTAGAACGGAGCCCTCAGGAATACTGAATTGAATTTTCAGGCCCTTTGTATCATCGAAACCGTACAAGTCGGCCTAAACCCTCTTAATTCTCTTGCGGGCTTAAAACCGAAAAGGCTGTTTAGGGTTGCGGGGTACGGATCCAAGAATGCTACAGCGCTCACAGCTCTTGGGCCAGGAGCTGAGGACGCAAGAAGGATTCGGCGTGTCTAATCCTGTAAACTGCCATAGGGTCCAAATACACTGGATATGTAACTCTAGACCGGATTGTGTAATAAACAAACCTGCATACGTAGCTGAATTGAAGGTAAAGGTTTCTGGTGCCGGATTCCCCCAATACCCTTTTAACTAAGGAAGACAGCTGAAATCATAATATGTAGCCTTTTGTACCTGAAGGTATATTCCATTCAGTGGTATTGGGCTGCATAGGAACCCTTATTATAATCATAACATAATGTACCCCTAAACCCTATTCTAATTTTTGAGGCCCCGGAATTGTTGTTCAACCCTCAAGCCCTAAGACTTTGCACTACGAGGGCCCTGCAAGGGATCTACCCCTGAGGACCCAAGTGCCCAAATAGCAGGGCTTGAGGTCCCAAAGCCCATAGTTTAGGGTTTAGGGATTAGGGGGTTTAGGTTTAGAGATTAAGGGGTTTAGGGTTCAGGGACACAATTAAACGAGTATGGCTTTGGGTCCCAAAGACCTTAAAGCCCTACTATGCGGGTATTTGGACCCTTATGGTTCATTTCGAAGGACCGGACCTGTGTTTCTGCCAACAGAGAACAAGGAAGGCTACAATATAGGGGTCTTTACAATTAGTTAGAGTAAGGTCTTGGAGTATCTTACAGTATAGACGCATTAACGAACCCTCAAGGATAGAATGAGTAGTTATTCAGACCCGTATGTATTCCCGCCCAACCCTAATACCTAAACCGCAGGCTGCAGCAGATGTGAAGGTGGGGAGCCGCAACAGAGCACAATGGTCAACGCAGAGAAGCTCGAAGATGCTCATGGGGATGCCCCCAATGTCCTTCGGTTAATGATATAAATCCTGCATTACCTTCATAATGACCCCAGACCATGGAGATTATGGCATATTCCTCATTATGGGTTACGGAGGATATTTTATCATCCACCGTTTGACATGTCGCTTTACCGTCCTGCGACACACCTGCTTCCATAGACTACGCAGTTCATGCAGGTCGTGAGGATGGCAGCTGACAAGGCGCTGTTCCTCTATAGTACCTGTAGGACGAAAGCGGAGTCTGTCATGAACACTATCGGTATCGGGATGCCGTCACGGAAAGGTATCGCAGCTCTTGTCGTTCGAAGTCCTTGTATGGCAGCTCGGATCTCAGATTTAGTAGAAGTACACGGACCAGAGATCAGGACCTGGGCGATATAACCGAATCACCACAACCTAGCGCGTGAACTCCGAAACGTCCGAATCTTACAACACAGCATGTCGAACAACCAATCTAGAATCCTACCTAAGCCCAAAACCCCTACACCCTGAACCCTAAACTCTATACTTTGAACCCTAAACCCTTAAACTCTAAACCCTGAATACACCTGCGGTCTGGACCAAAAAACTCAAACGCCGACTTCGGTTGGGTCTGCTGGCGTGGCTTGGGTTCTGAAGCAAGGGTTTGGAGCTTTGGGTTTAGGGCTTTGAGCCACGGTTTAGGGTTTAGATTTCTAGGGTTCAGGGTTTAGGGTTTGGGGCTTTGGGTTTAGGGCTTTGTGCTCGGATTGTGGTTTGTCTCTGGCCGTAGTGTGTCTGTCATGTACGGTCTGCATCTAGGCATTGCAGGTTGCAGGCTCAGGGACGGAATCCTCACAACAAGACAACAAGAGATTGACAACTACCTGGCGAAAGAGCTGGTTGCCCAGCAGACGGCCTGCGTCGTCCGAACCGTAGACCCCAAAACCATACTGACCAAACCCTGAGTCATAAGACTCAACCTGAAATGATCTACTTCCATCCCAAATCTGGCAGCACCGACCTCCACCCCAAACGAATGCCCCAGCAACCATACGAGCATCAGCGGCTGTCGGAATACAACTCCAGACCCGAAGCCCACACCCTGCGCCTAGAACCCCAAAACTATCCTTTATTGTAGCCCCTAAATACCTCGTAATGAGCAATACGGTTGATGATATAAATCCTGCATTACCTTAAGGGCCCTAAACTATGGGAATTATGGTATATTCCTTATTATGGGTAATGCAGGATTTATATCATCAACCGTAGTAGAGCCCTTTGAAGGGTGCTTGGTGGGTCCTAGTGGGTTTAAGGGTTTAGGCTTAGGGCTTAAGGTTTGCATAGGGTTTCTTGCTGAAATTGCAGGGCCTGGGGTTTAGGGCTTACACATGGGTGTCTCTCCAAATTAGCGCCCCTTTTTCGGTACCGGAAAATAGTACAGCACCCTTATCAGAAGCACCCCGAAAGGGACCCATTCATTCTCAGAACTACCCATATATACTCCCGGATTCCGACGCACGGCGACCAGATTTCTTTACCCGCGCCTTCCAGTGGCTTTCTCAACCTCTCGATGTCCTTGTCCTGCGAAGACCAAGTTGATTCGAAGTTCGTGGTATTTACTGTACGGCCTTGGCCCCAGTAAAAGAGTAGTGTTTCGGCCTCATGAACAAACTCTAAACCCCATAGAACGAAAGCCCTAAACCCCTAAAGCTAGCTCCGCTAAGCCGCGCACTGATGCGTCTTATAATGCCCGTACAGAACCCTCCGAGGAACCCTTAGAGGAATCCTTACACTAAAACACACGAAACCGACTTCTTCGTGGACCCCTGTAAACTCGATCTTCCTACTTGTCGAGTATCATGGGGAACTAAAGCTTAACCTTTTCGGTTATATAAGGATTATATAGGGGCTAACTCCATAGTCGGAACCTGCAAAACGTTGGGTCATGGTGAGTTAGGGAAGCCGAACCCCGACCTTCGTTAACGACCCACACCTGAAATGGGAGTTTCCGAAAATGGGGGACCCTAATATGGTACCCTAAATAGTAAGATCCTTATTATATTGTAAGGACACCAAAACAAGGCACCCCTAATTTTCGGAAACCCTAAACCCTTATAGAGCCCTTTAAAGGAACCCTTATAGTACCCTTAAAGTAACCCTTTAAAGGACCCCAAAATAAGGTACCCCTAAATTTCCGGAAACCCCCACTTAGACTCAAGATGGTTTAGGACGTCGGGCCAGGGGTTTCCTTGAAGGATCTATACACGGTTAAGGGTTTAGGGTTAAGGGTTTAGGGGTTTAGGGTTCCCTTAATTAAGGAACATACCTGAAATCATGTTAGGGATCCTACCATAATTTATGGAATATTCCTTAGTTAAGGGATATTGGAGTCTGTGGGTTTCGTAAAGTTCCATTCGGGCTTTACAGGGGGTCTTTTAAAAGGTCATACACATATACATGCATATACATGTACCACATATGGTGCATGTCTACCATACGGCTTCTATGCAGAGTAAAGAAGAAAGCCGTACTCGCATCCAATATGGGTTTTAGGGTATGTTCAGTACTTGGAGGATCATGGGACTTAGTAAGTTGGTTGTAATTGGGGTTATAAGTCCCCGAAGTCGGGTTATCCTAATTATAACCTACTTATAACGCTACTTACTAAGTCCCCTGAGCCTTTAAGTACAGATATCATATGGAATCCTCAGGATTCTTCTCGGGCTTCTTGTGAAGCGCTCCGTTGAGATACATCGTCTGGTTCGACGCAAGCATGGCAAATCGACGCCTGGAGAACTTGCGTTGCTCATCGCTCGGTGGGAGGCATAGGAGCTGCAAGCATGTCTGAACCCCGAGCATTAAGCTTTGATGGCATGACCATGACGGGGTCGATCCACCTTACATCGGCAATGTTGTCCCCGTAACGACTTCTACTGGAAGGTTGCGAATGCGGAAACTGCCGCTACTCTTGACTAAGAACCCGATCGGGGTATGGCTCTACTTTTGCCTACGATATCCTGAATCCCACAGACCTCAAAGCCTCAAAAACCTAAACCCTTAAGCCCTAAGGCCCTTTAACGGCCAATGCATACATCCTCGAAAACAGGAATTCGGGCAAAAGCCCTCGACAAGACATAAATTAAAAACCTCGTGCACTTGCCTCCCGTGCCGCGCTAAACCATCACAACTCATTTTAGACTAGTGACTAGAGTTTAAGGTTCGTCAACGCTTTGGCAATTCAGTCGCCACCTTTGATCGTCCCCTCATATTTATACTACGTAAATGCTAAATACTATACTATTTGGGTGCTATCGGGCCAGGATTTCTTAATCAGGTTCCTACATGAGCTATAGTGTTCAGAACCCCAGGTGCAAGCACTCCTTCTAAGCAAGTTTCGTGGGCAGATGATCGGGAGAAGCACCCAAAACTTCACAGGAGGTTCCCATGCCTTGGCAACGTAGGGATGCTGAATCTGAATCCCGAGCACTGCGACTAAACCTTATAAAGCTTACTCCTCAACCTTGGTTTCTAAATTCAAGCCTTGAGCCATGCGTCTAAAACGTAAACTCAAAACCTCGGGGATGCCTCTTCCTTCACTTCTCCCTACACCTTGAACCCCTCTAAACCCTAAACACTAAACCCAAAGCCCTAAACTCCTAACGCCCTAAAACCTAAACCTCTAAACCCTAAGCCCTAAACCTCTAAACCCAAAGCCCCTAAACCCCTATAGCCCTAAACCCTTATCTCTCGAGTCCATCTCGAGCCCCGGCACGACAAAGTCCGGTAGCGCCACCGGAACAGATGTCATCTCGTATTGCACAATCGGCGCTACGGATCCAGCCACTCTCGCGGGCATCTGGTCAGGACGGTGAATCGTAGTCGTCTTGATCCCAGGACCCTCGATCGTGCAATGCTTCGGATCGTTAGCTGCCTGATCTGCAGCCGTGCTAGCAGGTCTAATGATGTAATTTTCTAGGATGCCCGGTAACCTCGGAATGAAAAGGGCTCCCTCTTCGGTATTGGGTAACTATATAGGGAAACTAGAACTACCAAAAGGGCAGAAAGGTACTACTGGGCATCCTAGTTTTTAGGCGTCTATAGACACCAAAGCAGACGCCTCAACCTGTAAATCCAAAACACAAGAACCTGAATATTTAGAACATGGCTTTGGGGCCCATGATACTGTAATTATTATGAGGACCCCTCCCCAACATAGTGCAGGTCATTATGTATTAAGGCCTTATATTAACCCTAAACCCAGAGAGCCCAATACCCCTTGATGGAATATGCCTTAAACAATAGGGGGCCTTATACTATGGTTTAAGCTATATCCCTGAATTAAGGGGTATTGGGCTCTCCGGAAACCCTACACAACACCAGCCTTCCTAAACTAGCAGAAGTTTCGGCCCCAACCCTGAAGTTGCAGGGTTTTGGGGTTTAGGGTTTTAGGGTTTAGGGGTTTGAGAGGTCCGACTGGAAACGGTCGATGCCGTCCAGCACGAGAAGCCAGCGCCTCGTCTCCGGGATTTTTGCGGGTGTTTCTTCCTTCAGGCTTTTCTGTAGGAACCTTAGGGTTCCTTTAAAGGGTTCCTTAAAGGGGGTCTATAAGGGATCTGTAGTAGGGTTCTATGGTATATGGCCTTCATAATTCAGGGGTTAGGGTTTAGGGTTCAGGCTTGCATGTAGGAACCTTAATGTTCCTTTAAAGGGGTCGATGAGGGTTACTATTTGGGATCTATAAGGGTACTAATTAATAATGTAGGAACCTGATTAAGAAACCTTGGGCCTTTATCAGGGCTCTTTCTATGAATCCTACGATATTTGGGGTGACAGGCCCAGGATTTCTTAATCAGGTTCCTACATTATTATAGTACCCTTATAGATCCCTTATAGTAACCCTTATAGACCCCTGTAAAGGAACCTCAATACTGGCCCAGGGTTTCTTAATCAGGCTCCTACAGTACCTAGGTAGTTCCGAGGCTCCAGGATGTAGGGCTTTAAGTGTGCCTTAGGCTGCCTCATGTTAAGTGGTACCGGAAGGGTTCCTTTAAAGGGTTACTACTGGTTACTATAAGGCCACTATAAGGGTTCCTTTAAAGGGCTACTGTAAGGGTTTTGGGTTTCCGATAAAACTTGTTGTCGGAAGGATGTTTTGGGTGTTTATGGTTTGCGCTCATGTGGGTAGCTTCTGTCTTCGGGTGTTCGGGTCCCGGGTTCCGTGCGTCGTGTCATCTTTTTGAGGGGGGTCGCTTTTTTGAAGAAACTCTGTATTCGGGGCAGCATAAGGTTTCCTCGTTTCTGAGCTGCCCACTCGCCGGATCCCCTCAAGATGCTGAAACGCGAAGGCCCTGACCCTAACCCTATATTCTTATAACTTATAAAACCCTAAACCCTAAACCGATAGTCTATTATAGTCGGTAAAACCACAGAAAGACCTTCGAATAACTGTGTCCGACCTGCTCCCTTCTGTCCCTGCACAAAGCTGCCCAAGGATAGAACGTAGTACACCACGCAAGCAGGGGGCAACCGGATTGAATTGCCGAGTCAGCTGCGAGTAGAGTCCTTCCCAAGCTTCTTCATCACCTTGTACCCGCTTTGAGGATCGGCTTCCCGCCGTAATGCAAGACATTCTTTGTCTGGAGCCAGCCAATGAAGTCTTTTGCCTTGCCAACATACAGATCCATGCTTCAAGGACCCTCGCTCTTTGCTTCAGTACCCGGCCAAGTACAGGCCGGGCACCAGGCTGCGTGCCAGGCTGCCTGGCACCTCAAACATATCTTTCTGTTTATGTTCCAGGAACTGTTTCGGCTACTGTGCGCCGCAGGGGCCTTGTGCCGAAAGGCGCGAGGGATCTCCGTCGCCATTGCCCTGAATAATACCTGTGTTTTCTTGAAGTAAGGAACTCAGAGTTTTCTGAAGCCCTAAACCCTAAACCCTAAAACCCTAGGCTCGGGCGGCCTTCGAAGAAAAGCCACCGCGCCCGCTGCTGACCGACCGGAGCCGAGGAAGTTGTCGTAAACGGGAGTTTCGTCGCTCATCGGCCCTATAGGGCCTAGTAGTCGAGTAGTTAACCTTTAACCTTTTTTTTGGTAGTATATATAGTCCCTATATAATCCTTATATATCCAGAAAAGTTAACCTTTAGTTCCTCATGATACCCTAGGAGGGACTTCCAACTTGCTCAAGCCTTCTGTCGACGCCCCAAGCTGCACCCAAAGCCCAAGGCCACCCTCGCAGCCCAAACTCCTAAACCCTAAACCCCTAAACCCTAAACCCTAAACTAACCCTAAATCCTAGACTCCTACAATTTCCTAAACCCTAAACCCCTAAACCCTAACCCTAAACCCTAAACTAACCCTAATCCCTAGACTCCTAAACCCAAAATGAATCCCCGCCCTGACCGGAAAGGCCCTCGGTCCTAAAGTCGGCTGCTCCAACGCACCCCCATTCCTTAGGTATTGCCCCCATACAGTAAGAGTCTATAATAGGGCTACTATTAAGGTCCTAATATATCTATATTATGAATATTACTCAACTATATTTATATTATGAATATTATTCAACTATTTTTGAGTGGGGGCCGTACCCAAGCCATTCCTATCTGATTATCTTCAGGCTCTGTCCTCAAAGGCCTAAGTATGTCTGGACCCGGAGCCCCGAACTGTAAGCCTGAAAAACCCTGAGACCCGAACTGTCCTAAGCCCTAAACCCTAACAGAAACCGTTATGGAGCCCGGACATGCTAAACCCCAAACCCCAAACCTTAAACCCCAGGCCCTAAACCCTATAAGCTTTCAAACACAAAGAAGCCCTTAATAGAACCTTTCAAAGGAAAGCCTAAGTCCCTTCCTATAAATCCCGAGAGAACCCTTCACTAAACATTACTAGAACTCTTTACTGGCCCTTATGGGATCCCAACACGACCCCTCCAGGAAGAGAGCCCTAAAGAACCCTTACGTAACCCTTAAGGGAAGCCTTTCTAATTTTCATACCCTTGAAAAGCACCATTTTCATGCATTTGTTGAACCCTTTTTCAACTCTTAAGCCTTAAGGGCGCCTTTACAGAACCCGGCCTGTTCCGCGTGAGAGACGTCAACGTGGACCAGGTGCAGGTGGCATAGGCCTCTGCATTCTTGGTTTCGAGGGCTTTTGGGGTTTTAGCGCTTTTGGGGTTTAGTGTTTTGGGGGTTTAAGGGTTCAGGGTTTAGGGTTTTTGGAGTCTTAGGTTTTTGGGTTTAGGGTTTTAGGGTTGAGGCTCGGGGTATGGAGTTGAGAGACTCCGAGATGGCTTTTCCGTAAGGAATCAAGAAGGATTAGACCTAAGAGTAACCTTGGAATAAAAAGGATGCCCTTTTTAGTTCAAACGCTGTTATAAGGGAACCTGAACCCCAAAAAAGGGAATAAGGGCTTACTCTGGGTCCTAGAGGAGCATACCTAAAATCACATTTCGGGTCGTTGGAGCTTGTAAGGGTCAGGGTTTACCCTAAGACTCCGAATAGCCCAAAGTAGGTAGCATTTATAGACTTTAGCCCCCAAAGTAGGTACTATTTATATACTTGGAGTCTTAGGGTTAGGGGATTCGGCTTGAGGGTTGACGTTTTGTGGATGTGGGATCAAGGGCTTAAGCGGTATTAGGTTCGGAGCCCTCAAACCTCAAAAACCCGTAAACCGTAAACCCTAAACCCTAAACCCTAAACCCAACCCCACAGTCCGAGACACAAAAGCCTTGAAAGATTAAATCCCCAAAAGCCCTGAACCCCCGAACCCCTGAAGTCCAAAACCCCTTCTGCCGAAAGTCCTAAAATCCATCGACTCATAAAGCTCCCGACATTACAACCCCTGTACCCCTAAACCCTAAACCGCGCCGCGTATAGCATGCACTATAGCAACCTTCATCGTCACCCCTACAGAGCCCTGAAGCTCTAACCCCGGCCTGAACGTTCAAGGCAAGGAGGATCATCTGGCCGGTTCAGAGGCTTCTTTCAAGTTGTGAGGCTGGACTTTGAAGTAACCAGGGAGAAAACAGTATAGACTTTTAGTTTATAATGGTTCCTTTAAGGTAGAGGTACCAAAGACAGTATTCAAGTATGGTAATTACTCCAAACCCAGGGAGGTTGTGCGAAGAAACCTCTGTAGGGCTCTTGTGAGGATTGGTTTAGGCTGGAGGGTTTTGGGCCCATAGGTGCCAGGGTTCGGGCGATACTGGCTTTAAACCTAGTTGTGCCGCGGCGTACCTTATTCGGAGCCCCTTAGGGTTCTATATAAAGGTCCCGTCGTACTTTTCTGAAAGTCTCCTACTTCTGTCCCAGGACAAAAGTTCTCCACACGACCTGCAACTTTACATGTCCAGTCCTGGGGCTCCCTTTCCTCCGTAGGCTCATCACGCATGGTCCCTCCGCACGGAACTGTTGGGGTTTAGGGATTTTTCGAGGAACTACTTAGAGGCTCATGGGACTTAGTAAGTAGGGTTATAAGTAGGTTATAATTAGGATAACCCCACTTAGGGGACTTATAACCCCAATTATAACTTACTTACTAAGTCCCATGATCCTTTAAGTAGGCACTCCGCCACGCTGGCCACGTAAAATGGACCTCCCACGCTCTCTGCTTCTCCGTGGCATAGGCATATGCGCGTGTTACAGAGAAGATTGTCCGTATGCCGGTGATTTATGCGTGATGCCTTAGTTAAACCTCAAACCGTAGACATGGCGCCCTTTAAATATGGCAGGGTGATATAACCCAGCGGTGGTTGAGGGTCACTTACTCAATCATTGGGAAACCCTCGGCCTACGTCCTAGAGTCCTAGAGCCTGATACACAGAACTTTTCAAAACAGTACACTCGAATAGCCTTTGGAGGGTGACCAACAACTGTATTGGAGATCCCTCTAACGAAAACCTATAATGCAACGCAGCAACACACTAAAGACGAAACCATCCTGAAACCCGAATCGTACAAAGCCCTAAACCCTACGCCCTAAACCCAAAACCCAAAACCCTAAGCCCTAAAGACGTGGTTTGGAGCCTTGGCAAGTAGGTGCTGTAAGCAGCCGTCCTTTTCGAACAGCAGCTCCATCTCCTAGCGAGTCGGGTTTAGTTTAGGAATTAGGGTTAGGGTTCAGGGTTTCAGTTGCGTTTAAAAGGCCAGGTCACACATTTTGAGGCTGAGTCGTCATCCAAAGAACATGGTTCTGGACATATGGGAGTTTCCGAAAACCAGGGGTACCTTATTTGCGGGTCCTTATAATAAGGATCCTACTATTTAGGGTACTATATTAGGGTCCCCTATTTTCGGAAACTCCCATATTGTACTACAAATATAGAAGGAAAAATTTCTAAATTCTCAGGCCAGTATACTACGAGTTCAGGATTATGATGCGTCGGCCTTAGGATGGCCAGCTTCTAACGACCGTGGCATTGGCGGCTATCTCCCTAACTCTCACCATTGAGATTGGATCAACCCTCTACCCTTTGCACCGCTAATGTTGCTACCAAGGCTGGTGGTGGTAACCAGTAGGGTGAGGGTTCAGATGCTGGAAATCATAGCAGAAACATATGTCGTTTTTGATACTTATCGTTAGCAATGGTTATTCCAAAATTTGTGGTGGCATCTTCGCAAACTACACCCCTGTGGGAAGGGCCAACCAACACTCTAGACCTTGACCTTAGAAGGGGCCCCAACCCCGTAATAGTGGTATAATAGGAATGTGATATTGCCCAAATATATACCTTATAGTCACTATACAGGGTGGGGGCAGCTTCTAACCTTGACCCGTCAAGCCTGACAACCCAACTGCTCCGCAAGCCTAAACCAGAAAAGGCCCAAAGACCAAGTGCTTCCTAAAGCCCTACAAACCCTTGGAACCCCAAACTCCAGAAGCGGACCCTGCACTCCAAAACAGAAATAGTGTAATAGTGGCAGTAGTAGCCCTAAACCCTAAACCCTAAACCCAAAACCCAAAACCCTAAACCCCTAAACCCTAAACCCTAAACCCTAAACCCTAAATCCTAGAACCCTGAACTTCAAGAACAGAAGTAAATGGCCTTCGTGCCCAAAAGCGCCACACCCTCGGCAAAAAGCCGGCCAGGCGCCCCAAAGAAACGACAAAAAAATCGACCTCGGCTGCTTGTGAGGTTGAAGGTTTAAGGCTTACTGGTTTCTGCGCTGAGGGATCTGCGTTCAGTTTCTCGCTTTGGTCTGAGTGAGGGGCATGCTGGAGTCCCCGTGTTGGTCTTACCAGCCTTGGCATTTACCTGCTGTCATCTACCCATAGGCCCCATAGTAGTTCCTTTTTGGGGTTCATATTTCGAGATTCAGAATCCTATAAGATAATCCCAAAAGGAACTACTATTGGCCTATGGGTAACATCACCTCGTCTAGTGCTACCGTCTTCTGTTGCTTGCTGCTTGGTCAACTCGGGCTGCCACCCGCTTGCACCTCTTCTCACTGCAAAGCGTCACTTGGTAGCTGTTTAACATGCCTGCGACCGGCCCTCAACCCCGAACCCCCAAACCCCAAAGCCCCAAACCCCTAAACCTAAACCCTAAACCCTAAACCCCTAAACCCTAAACCCCTAAACCTTAAAGCCTAAACCCTCAACCCTAGACCCTAACGACAGCCACAAGCTACACAGCACTTTTTGCATCGGATCTTAGGGCAAGCAAGCGTAAGTGAAGCCCCTACCGGCTGCAGCGGCCTGGCTGGTTCATCTGGGACTGCTCAGAGATCCCAATATCCCTTCATGAAGGATTTTAGGGGTTTAGGGTTTAGGGACTATTCCGTTCAATTGTAGGGGCCTTACCTATTATTGTTTAAGGTATATTCCTCAATTAAGGGATCTTGGGATCTCTGGGTGCTTTGCATAGCTGAAGAACAGCCCCTGATGCGAGTGACAGTGTTTCCATACGAAGTTGCACTTCCTACTCAGTCTTCCTTGGCTCCAGCTTTTGCAGCCGGATCCGTCCCCAGGAGTGCAGCCACCGTACCGACTCCGTTGACTGCAGTGCTGAAGAGAAGTGCATAGATGTTAAACCAGAAGGTCTCCGGCTCGCCTGGGTTCTTGCAAAGGAACTTAGTTTAAGTTACTATAATAGGGATTTTAATTTCAGTTACCATAACAGCAATCTATGGTAAATAATATGGTTTCGGTACTGCCATAGTAACTTGTAACTTGTAACTTAAAATGAACCCCTTAACAAGAACCCAGTCGCGGAACCATGGCGGCGGAAGTGGCTTCTGGCCTTGTACTTATGAGCTCAGGGGCTTAGCAAGTAGGTTGTACTTGGGGTTTAAAATCCCCTACGTGGGGGTTATCCAAATAAAACGCAACCTTGCCTTACGTTTGTAAGTTAAACTATGTGCCTTGTACGAGCATCATCCTGTAGTGGTAGTAGATCGAGGAGCCGTTGTAGACCAAAAGCACCTAGTTCATGGTTCAGAAAGGATTAAAAATTTAAATTTTGTTATTCCTTATTGGGTTTAAGTACCCATAACATGTAAAACGTTACCCAACTATGACCCTAAACCCTAAACCCTAAACGAGCCGTTGTAGACCAAAAGCACGGAGTGCATCGCACAGCGCGGCTTGCGATCTGCCTGGGTTGCCAGCACGCAGAGCAAGGCGAGGACAAGGAGCAAGCAGCCCAAATGCGGCATGATGCACCATGTGGCCTTGGTCTGGGGTTTAGGGTTTAGGGTTTAGGGGTTTAGGGTTTAGGGTCTGGGGTTTAGGGGTTCAGGGGTTCAGGGGTTTAGGGGTTTAGGGTTTAGGGTTCTTGTTCAGGAGTTTAATTTAAGTTACCATAATAAGGAAACCATACTCGGTTTAGAGTTAAACTCCTTAACAAGGCCTTAAAGCCTCTCAAGACAGTCGCAATGAAGATCCCCTTAAGCCCAATAAGGGGAAAATCGAACCTAAACCCTTAAACCCCTTTCACCCTAAGCCCCAAATCTACAGCGAAAAATATTTGAAAACAAGATCCTCTTCAGCCAAATAAGGGGAAGTTATCAAATATCCCAACGCCTACCATGTGGCGAAGCCCGACGACTCCAACTTCGCCTTCTCATCACTGGATAGCATTGTCAGAAGGGTGTCCTTAGTTGTCCATTTCGGTTCTTTTTGCAGTGCACTAACTCTTTATTCGCAGCGAATGCAGGTCCAGAGCCTGCCTCACAAAGGAGGTTTAGGGTTTAGGGCTAGGGTTTAGGGTTTTTTAAGCTAGGGTTTTCGGGTTTAGGGCTAGGGCTTAGGGTCGAGGCAGATCGCGGGCCAAAAGAAAGGCGGAATTTAGAGATGCTGTTCTGTTTTGAAACCCGAAGCGGTCAAAGCTTGCAAAATCAGGCACTAAGGATCTTGTCCCCATAGCATGGGAATCGCCTGAGGCAGTAGGTTGAAAGCACTGAGCAGCAGCATCAGACGATCGGTGACCGAGGCACATGGCATTGTGCCTCTGGTTGCACTCCACTATCTGCTGCTTTGCACAACGAGTTGCGGCTTCGGGAAAGAATATGCAAGTTTCGGATTTCGGGTTTAGGGTTTCGGGTTTAGGGTCTTCCAGATGAAACCAACCCCAGGCTTTATGCCCGAAACCTCAAACCCTGAGCCCCAAATCCCAGGCACGGAAGACTCACCCCAAACGCAAAGACTTAGGGTTAGGGAGCCAGTCCACCTTCACCGAACAGAGGCTGATAATATCGAGGGCGGGATGATTGCGACACTGGTTTTGGGAGCTTGGTGCCATGGATATTTGGGAGCAGATTAATAGATGGTAGATATCCCACAACGCGATTCTAACTGGCAAGGCCACTATACTGCATCCAGTAGAGCCTGCACTCGGAAGCACCCAAACCGTAGGCCCAACGATCTCGATCCCTAGCCCTTGAGGCTGCAAGCCCTAGGGTTTAACGGCCTAAGGGTTCGGTTTCCTGAAACCCCAAACCCCAAACCCTAAACCCCAAACCCTAAGCCCTAAACCCTCAACCCCAAATCCTAAACCCCAAACTCCAGACCCCAAATCCTAAAATGGGGCATCGGGTTTCAGATCTGTCGTTCAGGGCTTCGCAACGCCCGAGGTCCCAGCAAGTAGTCGTCTTACCAGCACCTCTGGGCCCGGTAAGCAGTATCACCTGAGTCGAGGTGTTCCGAGGAGCCTAGGGGTTCCTTTAAAGGGTGCCATAGGGTTCTGTAATTGGTCCAGAAAGCAGTATCACCTGAATCGAGATGTCCGGGCAAGGGTGCTTCAGGGTCTGGAGGTTAGGGGCCTAGGGGTTCCTTTTAAGGGTACTATAGGGTTTCAATAGAGGGCTCCCTTCAACAGTTTAGGGTTTAGGGTCTACTTAAAGGCTCATGGGACTTAGTAAGTAAGGTAGGCTAAAATAAGGATAACCCCACTTAGGGAACTTGCAACCTCAGTCATAACCTACTTGCCCATGATCCTTTTGGCAGGCTTCGGGGTGTTTTTGGTTCAGAGTTTAGGGCGTAGAGTAGAGGGTTTCAACTTAGGGCTCGTGATACCTGAACATTCAAGAAATCATGACAACCAGGTGGGGCTGTTAAAGCTTTTGAAAAATACTAGTGATAATAGTAATCATAGAAATCATAGTAATCACAGAAAAATAGTAATACTAGTAAATAAGATAATCTTAAGCCCAATAAAGGGAAAACATAAAATGCCCCAAAGCCCTACCTAGACAAACACTGTACTGGCAGGCCTTTGCGGAATATGGAGTCTAGTCCCTGCTGCCGTGGTAAATGTGAGGTAACTATATCTTTTGCGCATGTCCATTTATGTACTTCACATGCAACGTGAGAACGAAGAGTCGCAGCGGGCATTCCAGCAGAGTTAGGGCCCTGATGTCATGTCGCGTTCAGCCCAAGGCCGCGAAGCCCTCCCCCCAGCCCGAATCAACCCTAAGATTGAAACCCGCGCTCCCAACCGTAAATCCCAACAGCTGATAACCTGTCAGCCTGCAAATGAAGCAACCTGCACAAACGGGCTTCGATACAGGGCCTGGGGCGGCTATTCTGCTGCTGCAGCCGCACGAGGGCTTTACAATACTCATGCGTCAGGCACACATCAACTTGTGGTCTCAATCCTTCCGTTAACTTCACACAAGTAGCAGACTTTTCGCGTGGTGGCAGCCCTCTTAACCGTCACACTCTTCCTGCAAGCGGCAGTCCCAGCAGCAACCCCGCTAAGCCCAGCAAACTAAGGGAAACTGAAGTGGCTGAACCTCCTGATCCCTAGATTTGTGCCTCTTGCGAAAAGCCTACACCTTAAATCCCGAACCCGCAGAAGAATAGACTTAACTTAGGTACGGCCCCCATAGAGTAAGAGTCTATAATAGGGCTACTCTTAAAGGTCCTAATATATCTGTAATATGAATAATACTCAACTATTGCTGAGTGGGGGCCGTACCCAAGACTTAACCCTGAGACGAGAACTCAAAACCCTACTTCCAGGATCAATGTTATAAATCCGCCACCTATTGTAGCTGCGTGTAACCGCGAATTGGGGACATGTAATACATCTAGCCATGAACCTTGAAGTACAAACTCTAAGCCAATTTCCAAAAAAAATAAAAGGGTTTCGACCTCCAATACATCCCTTGTAATTAATAGGAGTGGCACCCTATATGGCCTCTTATACGACCCACTTGGTTCAGGACTTCGCATAAGCCCTTTGCCCTACCCCCAACCCTAAAACCCGAAACCCAAAATCCCTAAACCCTGGAACTGTATGAACCCGAAACCCCAAACACCATGAACCTGAAACCACTGAACCCTATACCTAAAGCCATGACCCTTAAAGAACCCTAACCCCAAACATCCCAAGCTTCCCAGAGGAATATGTTCCTTAAACCATAGTAGGGATCCTACTATAATTGAAGGTATATTGCTTAATTATGGGATATTGGAGTCCCCTAAACCCTAAACCCTGTAGATCCCTTATAGATCCCTTAAAGGAACCCTAAACCCTGGAACCCTAACTTAAAGGGATCTTGGAGTCTCTGGCTTTGGCATCTTTTGAGACTCGCGGCCCGTCGTTCCAAAAACTGAAACTTCTCCGCAAGCGCCGCCAGGTCCAGCGCCTGGCTGGCTTCACTAAAAGGGTTCCTTAAAGGATTCCTTAAAGGATTCCCTAAAGGATTCCCTACAGGATTCCTTACAGGATTCCTTAAAGGGTTCCTTAAAGGGTTCTATGAGTCTATGAGGGGGAGTTTAGGCCTAACGCCTAGTTGGCTTCACTTAAGGGGTCATGGGACTTTAAGGTTCAGGGCTTTAGGGGTTTGGGGGTTTAAGGTTTAGGGGTTAGGGGTTTAGGGTTTGGGGTTCAGGGTGTTCGAAGACTACTTAAAGAATCATGGGACTTAGTAAGTAGGTTATATTTGGGGTTATAAGTCACCTAAGTGGGATTATCCTAGTTATATCCTACTTATAACCTTACTTACTAAGTCCCGTGAGCCTTTAAGCAAGGGTTCTGTTTTGAGGGTTCCCTTAAGGGTCTGTTTAGGGGTTCCATTATGAGTCCCTTTAAGGGTCCCTCTGCGGGTTCCTTTTCGGGGTTTCTGAAAGAGTACTGGAATTACGACGAGAAGGCGCTTTAATCTAAGGGTTCCTGTCAGGGTTTCGATAAGAGTACTCTCATTGCGATAAGGAGACCGTAACTTCGTCAACTGATCTCCCTTTTTTGCCTCAGCTTTGGGTTGAGGCTTGGTTTTGAGTGGTCGTGTTTTCTTTTTCCGGCAGCCGAAAACGATCTCTGGAAGTGTTTAGCGGGATCTAATCAAATATCTTAACCTTGGGCATGGTAAAAGCTCTGTAGATCTCTACGGCCTTCACCGGGGGTAAGAGATTGGAAGAGAAACGTGAGGAATACCTGCAACTCAACGCCTGTAGCCCTCAAACCCTCAATGCCAAAACATGAGCCTAAACTCCGCACCCTAAGCCGGCAAGGTTACATTACATTAACACTAAGTTACATTCAAATACTTTGCCCGACCCAGCAACCTGAACCCCTGAACACCTAAACTCTACGCATTCACAGTCCCTAAACCCGAGCCGCAAACCCCTCAACCCTAAAAACCCAAAGCCCTAACCCCAAAGCCCTGAACAAGAGACCAGACCCGTAAACCCTTAAGCCCTAAACCCAAAACTCCTAAACTAGTAAGCACCCCAAGGCCCCATAGTAGTTCCTTTTGGGGTTCATATTAAGTATCTTATAAGGTAATACCAAAAAAGGAACTACTATGGGGCCTCTGGGCAGGCATGGATGTCTACGAACTCTGGTCTTCGACATGGATGCCCATTCTCCCTTGCGCCTGAAGGCGGTACTTCTCCACAGGAGGAGTGGCGGGCCTCACTTAGTGCATAGGGCTTACTTAAAGGCTCATGGGACTTAGTAAGTGAGGCTAGAAGTAGGATATAATTAGGATAACCCACTGAAACGACTTATAACCCCAAGTTATAAGCTACCGAGTCCCATGATGCTTTAAGTAGGGTGTTGAGGGGCTGCTACCCGAAAGCCCTGGTGATAGCTGCGGGGATCCATCGTAGGCCTTCTTTTTCAGTTGCGGCACCTTTCAAGGCGTGCACTGAAAGGCAGAGTAGTACACCTGTAGAGGTACTATTTCGGATTCAGGGCTTGGGGTGTAGGGGTTAGGATTTTTCTCAGGTTTTGGAGCACCAAGGATCGCATGTTGCGAGATGTTTTGCTTCTTTGGTTCTTCTTCCTGTAACGGAGGCCGACAAAAAAAGAAAAAAAAAACAACAAATAAAACAACACCTGGTCCCGAACCTAAATCTGCAAACCCTAAAACCCCGTTGTAAGGAAAGCCGTGAAAGGAACCCTGAACGAACTCTTGTAGCACCCTAAACCCGGAACCCTTACAGAACGAAGGAGCCTTTTTAAAAAGGATCCCTTAAACAGTACCCCAGGAGCACTCACAGGATCCCTCCAAAGTACAGCAAGCATCCCGTAGAGGAAGCATTGAAGGATCCCTTGCAGCCCTCAAGCGGAACCCTTCAAGGAATCCTTGGAACCAGTTAAGGGACCCGTAACCAAGACGAAGTCGTAAGCCTCCTAGGAGAAACCTCAATGGAAGCCTTCAAGACACCCTTCATGGAACCAACCCTTAAAGGAAGCCATATTTAAAGGCTCATGGGGCTTAGGAAGTAAGGTTGTAGTAAACTCCCCCTTGTAGAACCCTTATAAATCCTTACAGGAACCCTTCAAGGAACCCTCGTCACTTTATGGAAACCCCTCAAGGAAGCCAAAAACCTGGTGAGCACAGCTCGGCCCGGAACCATGGTGTCCCCTCGATGGCATCGCCGCGCGGCGGTGCAAAAACAGGCTCCTCCTACGAGCGTTCGGCTTTCAAGGGTAGAGGGTTTAGGGCTTGTGGGGTTTAGGATTTAGAGTGCAGGATTTAGGGGTTGCAGGGTTTAGGGTTTGTAGGGCTAGTAGGGTCTAGGGTTTGTGGGATGTAGGTAGGACTTACATGGTTGAGGGCTTAGGGTTTTTAGGGGTTTAGGGTTTGTATTTAGGATCTCGGCTTTATAGGATTCAGGTGGGCCTTAGAGGGGTGAGGGTTCCGGACCTCAGGACTTTGGCAGCCAGATTTCATCATTGGACGATCTGCACCACTGAACCCTACATCCTGAAAGTCACCACCCCTCAACCCGAAATCGTAAAAATTCCATAGTGACTCTTTACAGATCCCCTTAAAGATCCCTGAAAGGAACCCGTACAGGAATGGGCCTGCACCTCTGGCGGCCAAAGAAGGAACCGTTCTGCCTTTGGACGCAGATGGTTTAGGGTTCAGGGGTTTACTATACTGAACTTGGAACCCTAGCAAAGTTACTAGTTTAGCTGCTTCTTAGGGATTATAAAAAACCAAAATTAAAAATCATTTCTAAGTACCCCTAAGTTTAGGGTTTAGGCACCGCAGGCTCGGGGCTGATATAGTTGCAGATGTGTGGTTTTTTTTTGAACTCCTTTTTGATGTCTGCCAGGCAATTGGCACACTTGGGGTTTTGGGTGCAGGGCTCAATCAGTTTAGTACGCTAGTTTTCGCTGAGGGCCTATAGGAATTGGAGATGGGCATGGGGATACACTAAAAACTTAAACCACAACCTTACACTACAGCTAGGGTGCCCAACAAATGCAATGCCGGACTTGGCATTTAGTTGCCACCGTCAAGCATAACAGCTCACGCGTGTTGCACCGTGAGGTTACTTAAAGGCTCAGGGGACCTAGTAAGCAAGGTTAAAAGTAGGTTCTAGGGATAACCTTATTTAGGGGACTTTGAACCCCAATCATTTATGACCTACTTACCAAGTCCCATGATCCTTCAAAGAAACCTAAACTTACTCCCCCCGTATAGATCCCTTAAAGTAACGTGTGTTACTAAGTCTCATGTTCTATACTGAACTTAGAACCCTAGCAAAGATTATAATTTTAGCTGTTTCTTAGGGATTATAATAACCAAAAACTAAAAAAATATTTCTAAGTACCCCTAGGTTTTCCTTTAAGGGCTCAAGGCAGCCTCTTGATTTGGACCGAAGCTTGAAGGCAGCAGCCTGAAAACCTGAACTCTGAGACGATTCGTAAACCCTTAACCCTAAGGATCCTAGGATTCAGACCTTAGGGCAGCGTTAGGCATCGGTTGAGGGGTCTACGTAGGCTGTCCAGGTTTGTAGGGCTCTCCGGGTCTGATGTAGAAGAACAAATACCATTCTCGAGTTGGCAAAAATGTAAAAGTTCAGTGCACCATCAGCTGAGGTGTAGGACTCAGGGTTTGGATTTGGACCTGCTGCCTTACAGCAGTTTCAACCCGACTCCAATGTGTGAGCCGCCGCGTAAGCTGTATACCCGACATCCTCAACCTCAAGTCCTAAACCGCCGTAGAGATGTGATGTAAGCATGTTGGATACAGTCGCAATCACCAATGACTTTCTGTAGCTGCTTACAATAACTGCAGACCAAATACTTTGGGAGGCCCGTCCATTCACCGAGCTTCTGCCAACCGTCTCTATCAATCTTTCGCTCGGCATAGCACCATGCCGAATGCCCGGGGAAGTCATTTGGAGGCATTTGCAAGGTACTGCTTCGTAGTCAACAAGGTGTCCACAGGGCATGGGTATCTGAAGGCATCCGGAGGGACACGATTGCTTCCTGAGACTGGGGGAGGGTTCAATCCTTCTGCCGAACTTCTTGCTTCAATATCTTGACCATCTGATCGGTTGAGATGGTTGTGAAAGCGGCAAGGCCACCGAGCCTGCCATGAGAGTTGACCATTCGAGTAGCAAGTTTGACCTTGAATCTTATAGCCACGGCCTTGTCACCACCATCAAACATACCCAATATCGTGTTCCTCCTTTGCAGTTCGACATCTCCTCGAAGACCTGCCAGAGCGTTGACGAAGAGAAGAACGCGAACGAAGTCTGGCGGTGCCCAGTTTTGTCCCAGAGTGATGAAGGAGAAATCTGAAACCTTGACCAATAATGCCATCAATGCAAAGCCAACCAAGGTGGGAATCAAAATGCATGCGAACACGTAGATCATCACACGTGCCGAGAAAGCTTTCCAAGACCCCATAGCCTGCAGCTTAACCATATTGGGGTTCTTCGTCAAGACCCGCCTTGTCCATGTCCACGTCGCTACCGGGTCTGCCGGTGTCAAAAGTCTCATTGATGACAGGTTGGACGCAAAGCGAAACGTATTGGTCATTGCATGCAAACGGTTCGGGAACTCGCTTGGCGGCTTCACGGCCGAAAACAGTGCAAAGAAAAACAACAAAACCAGAAGCACCATTGCCGCGAGGCCTTCACCGTATATTACTATGTGTCTTTCGAGGTCCCACGGCTTCTTCGGCTCCCACTGTGCTAGTAGTGCTGCAGTGTAAATCAAAAGAGCCAGATTTCCTAGAGGTCGTACCACAAACCATCCGAAACGGAGCAGTTGACCCCATGCAAACGGGTCGTCAACTGCGGCCGTCACATCAGCATCGGTGACCTCTGTACACAACTGGCAATGAAGAACCTCCAACTCACCCAACTGGACGTGCGCAAAGTCAAACTGCTCTTCAGCCGCATCCGCTTTCTTAGCCGCGAGCATCATGCAGAAAAGGATGAGGTACAGGATGAGTAGAAGCAACACTGCAACACCAAGCGTTCCGATGAGCAGCAGGTCTCGCTCTTCCAGATCCCATGGACGTGCCGGCAGGAACACCAAACTGATATCGACATCATGTTGTCGCATGGCTCCAGGGCAGGCTACTTACCCACCAGGCGACGGATGAAACTGAACGTTGCAGACTGCTTGGCCAAATGTCTGAGGTTTGCGAAGCACGATCGCCCTATTCAAATCCCACACCCTCTTCGATCCCCGCCTGAGCTGTGCTGTGCACACCTAGAGACTACAATATCCCTTAATTAAGGAATATACCTTAAATCATATTAGGGATCCTACCATTATTTAAGGAAGATTCCTTAATTAAGGGATATTGGAGTCCCTGGGCAGTCTCCTCCACTTGAACTAAAGACCCCTTGGCCCACAACCTAGAAACCTCGACACCAACACCTCTTCCCACACACTCCAACATGCCTTTTAGCCTTGCAGTTTCGGATTTCCGCTCTCAATAAATAGACTTTACTAGTAGGGCAGGGTTGCAGTCTGGTGACCCCATGAACCGCACTCTAACCAAACTCCGGACCCACAAACCCCGCCTCTGCGCGCAAACCCGTGTCCGCATGGTTTCGCAGGGCATAGCGGCCCCTGTTCCAAGCCTCCCGAGCCTCTGGCGTCAGGATTCCAGACTGTTGTGTTTTGGTTCTGTGACTCAGTGTTTAGTGATGTTAAAGCTGTTGGAGTTCTTAGTAAGCACCCTAAACCCTAAACCCTTTAAGCTTCTGGAGTTCATGGTAAGGGGATGTATATAAGCAGGGTTCTTTGGAACCGTGCGAGTATATTCGGAGGCAAACCGAAGCGACCTCCATAGTACAGCCGTCTGACGTTCTCGTACAGCTTTACCAAAAATGTTAGGGCTCGAGGTTACTAACCATATCCTTATATACATTAAATGTTTATTTATGTACTCATCGATACTTTACAACCCAGCAACCCATTAATTATTTAGGTACCTGGAGCCCTGGGGAAAATCGATGCTTGTGGTTGGTGCGACTCCTAATGTAGGAACCTGATTAAGAAACCTTGGGCCTTTATTAGGGTTCCTTATATGAATCCTACTTCTTTGGGGGTAAAAGGGTCAGGGTTTCTTAATCAGGTTCCTACATTATGCAACATTTAACCCCGATCTCGTGAGTTCCAAGGCGTAGAGCCCCAAACCCTACACGCCGAATTGAACATCCTAAGGCCCCAAAGTAGCTCCTTTTGGGGTTCATATGTAGAATCCTAGAAGGTAATCCCAAAAAGGAATTACTTTGGGGCCTATGGGAATCAGAAAAATTAGTCCTTTCTTTTTTAACTCGAACTCATGGATGCAAAACTGGAAACGGAAGAGGATCCGGCAGCCCGCATGTGAGTTGAAAGGTTCAGAGTTCTTGCGGCAACGGCTGAGGGTTCGACCATATGTGTAGACTAGTGCAGATTTGGTCCAGGGCTTCGTCATAGATATCTAGAGTTCACGCTGCACGGGTTAATCTACCGATTCGTCTGTTGGAAGAAGCACAGGCCGCCTTTCCGCGTTGTCCGTTTATATAGGGGTGCTACACTAGGTTGGCCCTTCGAAGCTTCTGAAAACTATTCCGAAACAATATCCCACCTGAGCCTAGTAAGGGAACAGATAAAATGTCCCAAAGACCTACTTAAAGGCTCATGGGACTTAGTAAGGCAGGTTTTAAGTAGGTTATAATTAGGATAATCCCTCGGGACTTATAACCCCAGTTAAAACCTACTTACTAAGTCCCATGAGCCTCTAAGTACCGAGCACCTGACTTTCTAGCGGAATGCAGGGACTAGGCTTGAGGAGGTGCAGCGGAGATGGGGTTCTAGTAAAGTTCGGGGGTAGTTTCAGAGCTGGCCTAGGGCATACCACTGTGAATGAGTGGGTGAAGGGACATGTATACACATATGTATATATGTATATATAGATTATAGGATAATGTTGTGGATTTTCCAGTTTATTAATGCCTTCTCCATTCTAGTTCACAATCTGTCTGTGGGATGCCGGCTTCAGAGGCGCGGATCACTATAGGCACTACTGCTCGAGCCCGGAAGCCCCTGTACGTGAAACGCTACGCCCCCCTCCCCACCCCTGCGATCCGTAAAATTGAATGCCAAGCCCTTTCACAAACCCTACCTTTGCTCACACAAACACACTACACCACAAACCCGCGCCATAAGGGGTTGATGAAACTTTTGAGTTTTGACACTCCTGCCTCATACTGACCTCACCCACCCTGATGAACTTCCAAGCAAAGTTCAGCAGGGGAGCAGATCGGCCCGAGAACAGATGCAAGTAGAAGGATCGGCAGAAGTCGCCTGGGTCGGCGTGTGAGGCTTTCGTAAGTTGGCCCAGTCGCCAGCAAGCTTCGAGGAAAAGGCTGCATGCAGGCCAAACCCTCCGGAGCCCTAAACCCTAAATCCCAAACTCTAAACCCTAAGTCCCAAACTCTAAACCCTAAATCCCAAACTCTAAACCCTAAGTCCCAACTCTAAACCCTAAATCCCAAACTCTAAACCCTAAATCCCAAACTCTAAACCCTAAATCCCAAACTCTAAACCCTAAATCCCAAACTCTAAACCCTAAATCCCAAACTCTAAACCCTAAATCCCAAACTCTAAACCCTAAATCCCAAACTCTAAACCCTAAGTCCCAAACTCTAAACCCTAAATCCCAAACTCTAAACCCTAAATCCCAACTCTAAACCCTAAATCCCAAACTCTAAACCCTAAATCCCAAACTCTAAACCCTAAATCCCAAACTCTGAACCCTGAACCATGAACCCTGGACCCCCTTGAAACCGAGAATCGTTGAAAGGCCTGAGGGTTCGAGTTTCTGTTGATGCCTTTTCGCAGAGTTAAGGGTGAGCTTCAGGATAACAGGGTTGGGATGTTGGGCTTTGGGGTTGATTTTTGGAGTTTGAAATTTAGGGTATTTAGGGGAGAAAGGTACACTGTGGCGGCCCTGTTTTTCCACATACGAGGTTTTGCTCCAGAAAGTGGGCTTTTCTAGGGATTTAGGATAGGGCTGAGGGCTTAGAGGCCTATTCCTGAAGACACATGTGAAGCTGACTGTCTTGATAACGCAGTGTATATATGGACTCAAAGTGTGAAGCAAGGGCCGTCAGGGCAAGCTGCTCTAGGATCTTGCTTGCCGTGACCTCAACAAGCTTAAAGCAGCTCTCAGTATCTTGCTAGCGTTTTGGTTTGTGTTATACTACGAACCCGAAACTGCTGTTGAAGAGTGAGCGACAGCTGTAATGAACTGAGATCCCATATGCTACAAAAACCCAAAGTATTGGGATCGGTGGGAACCAGGTGCACCTCGCGTTCTAAGTCACCAGCGCACTGCACTGTCGCTGACCTGCAGCCGTAGACGCATGCGTTCTATTATTAATGTCGGAAGCTGTTTAAGAAACCTTGGGCCTTTATTAGGGCTCCTTGCATGAGTCCTACTATTTTGGGGTTATAGGACCAGGGTTTCTTAATCAGGTTCTTACATTATGCTGCCATTGTAAGCGAAAGGACAAATAATACCTGCAACTGTAATTATTCAAAACAGGGTTCAGCGCGTTTGTGCCTCTAGGAATAGCTGCGGTTCGGGTATAAGAATCCATGAACACAGCACGTGCATGCTCTTGCTGTTAGTACACGCGCGACCCAGAGCCCTGCCAAAGCTGCACTCAAGCCAAGGAGCTGTCCGATTCCGAGTTCCAGTCTACCTGGCCTTGCAGCATATATGCGGAGCCTTACGGCACCCGATGCAACCACTTCGAAGGATGACCACGGAAAAGGTGGTCTATGCTGCGACTAGTTGGGTGCAGAGCTTACTGAGTTTATTGACGATGTCAGAATCTAGGGATTCACAGTCGTTGGCTGCTGCGTCATCAGGAAACTGAATGAGGTCTTGGATGCGGACGTGAAACGCCCACGCCCTACTCCTGCAGCCTGAAAAGTAAGCTCCAAGCCCAATCACTAAAGCCAAAGCCTCAAGCTTTGAACGCTCTTTCCGTGAGACCCAGCCCTACCCCCGACTTCTCAGACGGTCAATCTGTATCCTGGATCCTCCATGGACCTTGGCGCGGCCTCTATCAAGGACATCTGCATCATCAGCTGTACCATCTCCTTATTATCCCTACATAGTTAGACTATGATACATCCCAAAACCATGTTCTAATTATTCGACCGCTGTATTGCCCAAAACTCGGAGGCGCAAGCCCGAGTTTGACATTCCATCCCTGCTCTAAGTTCATAAAAACCTTACGTAGGGTTGAAGTTGCGGGCTAGTCTAAAGATAATCCCCCTGCCACAAACTTAGTCCCGAATCCCTAAACAACTCATGAAGTCTGTCATGCCATAAAAACTAAACTCCAAACCCTCGACCCTATTAGCCTACACCCCTAAACCCCAAAACACTAAACCACTAAACCCAACCCCAGACCACATACCCTGAAACCAGCCTTGTTCGTGCAACAGATGGACCGACAAGGGAGCTCGCGTGCAATGGCCTCAGCGCTGGGCGTTTTCTGGAGGGGGGGAGGGGGGTTAGAGTCGAGATTAGGATGTCCTTAAGGGGGGGTGGTCCAAGGGGGGTAGGTAACCTAGTAATCCCCATTATTCCCCAATACTCCCTAAGCTTCCCTAAGGTTCCCCAAAGCTCCCTAGTACCCTCCCCCCTTGAACCACCCCCCCTTAAGGATCCTATAACTGAAGCACAGCAGAGTAGTCGGTTCTTTGTTTGGATTTAGGCTTAGGGTTGACGGTTCAGTAGTACGGTTTCAGGCTCTGGCGGTAAGATCCCCAAAGCCCAGCCCTTTAATTTGACTACAGCCGTAAACAAACAGAGAACGCAAACACCTGAGTTAAACATAATAGCACATACCAGTAGGATCCCAGCTGTCCCCGCATCAAGGGACCAAGGGTCGTGCACCAGGGCTCTTTTACATGACCAGTAACCCCTTAACCCCTAATTCCTCAATCCTGTTTTAAGCCCTACATAGGCCCTAAGCTCAACTTAAAACCTCCTGAGATTAGTTTTAAAAAGGACCAATCTGTAGCCCATCCTGTGCACTTTCTCGCGTTTAGGGCTTAGGGTCTAGAGTCCAGCGGCTAGCACGTACCGACACCACAATCTCTTTGCTCTGGCCCTTACCAAAACCCTGTAAAGACATAAAATAAAGCGTAGACATCTTTACAAGACAACATGAAACCATGACCAAGCCCAGATGGACAACCCAAAACACCCTTTGCTCACACACCATGGGTCTATACTAAAGGATGATGGATGCTTGCAACCCGAGCCGCAAGCCCAAAACGGCTTGTCCCCCGAACACTTTACCCTAAATCCTAGACCCCTAAAGCCTAAAGGCCCTAAGCCGTGAATCCTACACCCCGATCTCCATGACCCTCAACCCTGAAACCCAACACTCCAAACCCTAAACCCTAAACCCCTAAACCCCTGAACCCCTGAACCCCTAAACCCCTGAACCCCTAAACCCTAAACCCCTAAACCCCTAAACCCCTAAACCCTAAACCCCTAAACCCCTGAACCCCCCAAAAACCCGAAAACCAGCCGGGGCGCCACGGAGTTGCAGGCCAAGAGCACCAAGAGCCCCAGGTTCTTCGGCGCCGGGGAGCTTAAAGGAGTCTCTTAGGGTTTAGGGTTTAGGGTTTAGGGTTTAGTCAAAATTAGGGTCCCTTTGTGGGTCCTTATTACAATACGGCACCTAAAATTTAGGGTACCCAAAAGGGGGCCATAATTTTGACAACCACCTACTTAGGGTTTAGGCTTCAGGATTTAGGGCATTCTGAAGGATCCCTTAAAGGATCCCTGAAAGGATTCCTTTAAGGGCGTAGGATGCTGTAGGGGTCACTTACGGTATCCCGGAAAGGATCCCTTTAAGGGTGCTGTTCTCTATGGCCCGCCTTTAAAGGGTACTACGGGGTTCTATGACAGGGTCCCCTTTGAAAGGAACCCTGAAAGGATCCCTGAAAGGGGGATCCTCTAAGGGCTCAGGATTCTTTAGGAGTCTGGGGGCCTGGGTCTGGAAGGCATACAGCAGGGAGGACTTGAAAGGCTTGAAAGTTAGGCTTCGTTCCGGGGTTTGGGGCTGGAGGTTTAGGGTTATGTGAGGTTTAGGTGCAATGATGGGCGTGTGGGGTTTTAGGGTTCCTGGGCTTTGGAGATTGGGGCTTAGAGCCCTTACAGGGGATAGTAAGTAGGGTTATCATCGGGGCCTTTAAGTGCGCCAAGTAGGGAAATGGGTAGTTCTCTAAATTAATTAGGTCTGCTATAGGGTCTTTTTCTTACAAGGGTGCTGTACACTTGTGGAAACCTAAAAAGGCGCTCTAATTTAGAGAAATACTTAATATCCTAATCATAAGCGTACTTACTCACCCCTATGGGCCTTTAAGTAGGGCTAAGGGCTCTGGAGTTTGAGAGATCATAATTGGTTAGGGGTGATGTAGGGTTTAGGCTTGGGTTTAGGGTTTAGGGCTTAGCGTTTTTAGGGTTTAAGTTTAGGGTTCGGGTGATGTAGGGTTTGTATTGTTGGTCGAATAGCTTCAGGTTCTGCATGCTCTTCCAGCATTTGCTCCAAGATCTCCAAAATCTTCGGAGCATGTTCCCCAGCATGCTCCAGAATGCTGAGGTCGCTGTGTTCAAGGAGACTTGCATTGCATGTGTTGTCGGATTGTGCCAAGATGTCTGACTCCCGTTGAGACAGCTCATACCACCTGTCCCAGTCTTCAGAACCTTCCGCAGCCTTGGAAGTGGCAGTGGCTGCATCCAGGAAAGCCACTGCGCTCTGCGTGTCCATGTGGAGCAAGATGTTGAGACGAATCTAAAGCTCATGCTTTGATGTCCCTGCTTGCATTTCCGATGCTATTGTTTTTAAAGACGTTGTCCGGGACGTGCAGGGCGTCTTCGGATTCAGCATCCTTTCGGGACCCACGACTGCTTGTATTTATGACCACTGGCAGCTGGCGGCCCTCATCATCCTCTTCAGCAGAATCATTTTCTAGCTCTTCCTGGAGCTGCCTGCCTTCCCCTTAACCCTAAACCCTAAACCCTAAATCCTAAAACCTAAACCAGATTTACGAGTCTTTGCAGCTTGCCTCACAAAGCAGGCTCGACTGCCAGAGCATGGCTTCAAAACAGGAGCTTGCAGGGTTGTCGTGCTTCGGTTGATGATATTACCTTAAGGACCCTAAACTATGGGAATTATGGTATATTCCTTATTATGGGTCATGCAGGATTTATATCATCAACCGTTCCACTCCCCGTAATCGGAGCTCCCGAAGACAACCTGCAACCCTAAACCATAAACCCTAAACTCCTAAACCTCAATCCCTAAACCCTGAACCTGCAACCCTAAACCCTAAACTCCTAAACCCCAAACTCCTGAAACCCTAAACCCTAAGTTTCTAAACCACACCCCCCAAAAGAAAAATAAAAAATAGAAAACACAGAAAAGTGCGGTCCTCCCATCCACCCATCTGCTGCAGGCCCTGGAGATCAGGGCAACTCTTCAGCACATGCGTTCCTTCTAAGGATGCCCCTAAGGGTAGTATAGGGCTCCTTTAAAGGTGGTATAGGAACCTTCGAAGAAACCCTTCAGGTCGCCCTATACTTTCCGCAATAACCGAAAAGCTAAACCCCACACCATCAAACTTTCGAGTTTAGGGGTTTGGGTCATCTAAAGCCCTAGACCCTATGGGTGGTTGTCAAAATTATGGTCCCTTTTGGGGTCCTGAATATAGTACGGCACCTAATATTTAGGGTACCCAAAAAGGGACCATAATTTTGACAACTACCCACGTAAGAGCCCGCCTGAGCATCGAGTAGATGGCCGCAGCCCTTCTCGTCTTCGAGGAGCAGAAAGTGCCTTGCACTTCACAAGGTTTACCTGGACCCTAAGGAACCTGCCTTTGTTAGGGTTCCCTAAAATGATTTCTTTATCTAAGTCCTTAAAAAGGTAGGCCATTGAAATGGGAAGGCCTGCACGGTGCGGCTGCACTGTTTCCGTACGTCATCGACGGCCCAGAGGTAGTGCACGAAGAGGACGCGCACGTATTCCGCCAACAGTGCAACTGCCGCTTGGCGCGGACATTCCGCATCTGCCACCAACTTTTCGATCTTGTCACTCAAGTCTTCCAAGCGCTCGAGCACATCTGCCATTTGTGCACGGACACTTTGCTCAATATGGCTGTGGAAGGTGGTGTTCGGATCGGGCGATGTGTCATCACGGTTTTCCACTATGAAAGCAGACCGCACGCCTGCGAAATGCAGCTGGCTCAGCAATCCTTGGCGATGCTTGTTCCGGTTGGTCACGAGCACCGCGAGACCTTGCCAAGCACACTAGCGTGCTGCCGCGTGCACCACGCGCTTAGAAGAGCTGTCAAAACTCTTGATTTGCCGCACCCAGGTGGTGACCAGATGACGTGGACATTGGGGTTAAGGCAGGGTTTAGGGTTTAGGATTTAGGGTTTAGGCTTAGGGTCTAGGGCTTAGGGATTTACGGCTAGGGTTTAAGGCTTCGGGCTTAGGGTTTGGGTTGAGGGCTGAGGGTTTATAAGCTTAGGGTTTAGGCTTAAGTTATACACCAGGGCGCACATTGAGATCCTGAAACATAAGCGGTTCTAGTAACGATTCTAGTAGGCTAAGGTAGACGCCGATTCCTAAACTCAAAGCTGAAACCCGGAACCCCAACATGGACCTAAGGGTTCGCGTTTGAGCCTGAAGCCCTAAACCCAAAACCTAAACCTCAGGCCCTAAACCCTAAAACCTGACAGGCTTCATGCCAAAATCCGGACATTCTTAGGGTTGCACTTGAGAACAAGAGCCCTAAAACCCTAAACCCTAAACCCTAAACCTTCAGACCCTGAAATCCAAAAGCCCCAACGCCCCCAAACCCGAAAGCCTACCTCTGAACCTTAAACCCCAAGTCCTAACCGCCCAAAGCCCTAAACCTCAAACCCTGAAGGGTTTAGGGTTTAGGGTTTAGGGTTTAAGGTTTAGGGTTTAGGGTTTAGGGCACCTTCTAAAAACCACAAAGTCTAACCTTAAACCCGAAATCCAAAACCTTTATTTCTAGAGCCCTTAGAGAATGTCAGGAACCCTTAAAGGTTGTAGGGTTTACGCCCGATACCCCGGAGCCCTAAACCCCTGAACCCTAAACCCTGAACCCCCAAACCCTGTACCCCCAAAAGTCCTAAAGACACAAAACCTAAGCCCTTATAAAACCGCTAAAGAACCCTTCTAGAACCCATATCGACTTTGCGGAACCCTTACATGGTTTAGGATTTACACCCGACACCCGCCAAAGCCCTTACAGCACAAAGCCTATCCTTCCTTCCCTGCCTCACAGAGCCTCCGTGCCTGGGTGGATGCTCGGTTTAGGGTTTAGGGGTCGAGGGGTTCAGGGTTTAGGGTTCGAGGTTTAGGGCTTAGGGCTCGAGGGGTTCAAGGTTTAGGGGCTTGAGTCTTTAGGGTTTAGGGGTTCCCTGAAGTCGAGCCCTACATGCTATCATTCCAAAGCCCTTCACACAACCCTACAGTTTAGGGTCTAGGGCTTGGGGGTCGAGGGGTTCAAGGTTTAGGGGCTTGACGGTCTTTGGGCTTTAGGGTTTAGGGGTTCGGCGGTTTAGGTTTTGGAGGTTCGGAGGTCTAGCCTGGGGTTTATAGGGTATGTGGGTGTAGCGTGTAGCATGGGCTTTAGCATGTAAGGGGGTTTTGGGGTTTAGCATGGGGTTTGGGGGGAGGGTTCGGGATTTGCATGGGCTTTGGGGGTGGGGGGGGGCGAGGTTCCCGAGGGGTGTTGTTGGGGGTTCACCTTGCGTTTGTTCTTGTAAGCCGTCCCTGAAGCCAGTCTTCATGGAGGTGTAAACAATTTGGTTGGGTTTCTCTTCATTTTCGGAGCCTAGATACACACTGCATGTTTTCGTTTTAGTGTTCTGGGGCTGTGGCTTCATTCATGTTTCGTAAACCTGTTGCATGAGTTTGGGGAGTGGTGTCACGTTGTAGGATAGATCTAATCACAGGTTTGGGTTTGGGTTCCTTCTTCGTGGGCAGGTCTTCTACACTAATTTCTCAGTTCCCCACAGACGTTTTTTCAACCTTAAACCCCATATCCTAAAATCCTCAGTTCCAACACAAACGCAGAGACTACAAAATCCTGTAATCAAGGAATATTCCTTAGATCTGAATTATAACTGATACTAACTGCCGCACGCTAGCACCATGTTCGATGATCTACTAGTCTGCTGATCGGGCGTTCCGACAGTGTGATGGCTATCTTACCGCACATTGTGAGGCCTCACATGTCGTTCATGCCGGTCCTGACGTGCCTGGTGATGGTAGTGGCTCCGTCCCCTTCGCTCACGCATCATCAGAGATGCCAGAGACTTGTTCGGCTCCACCTGTGTCACAGCAAAGAGCAAAACGGCACCCACCACGTTGCAATGCATTGCATTGCCCGCCATCTTGCAAAGGGACGCATGCGATGGCTTAATAGTGAGGAGTCGAACATACTCGTCTTGATCATCAACTCTGCGCTGAGCAAAAGAGCAGCAGGCATATCCGAAACTCCATCGGGTACGGACTGGGAATCCTTGTGTGACCAGCAACTCGTAAAGGTATCTTCCTTGATTAATGGATATTGGAGTCTCTGGGAAGGCTTAAAACCCCCACTCGCAACTATACCCCCTCCTTAGAGCCAGAATACAAATAATATGTTTAATACTCTCTTGGGTTGAAAATGAACAAACATGGAAAATAATCCTAAGGATACCTCTCTTCTTCAACAACCGGGCCCCAAAAAGTTCGAATATATAAAGCCAAAAAGTTTAAAGTTCCCCCGTTCACTATCTAAGATACTATAGACAGACCAGGAACTTCGAAGCTCTACAAAAAGCTCTACAAAGCCCACAAGCAATCTCAGCTTGACGGTGCAGGGCTCAGGGCTTAGAGGGGGAGGCCCTCGATAAACAAGGGCCATGACAGAAATCCGAACGTTAAGGCCCTCCAAGGCAAACACTGACCCTTACACCCTACAGCCCTAAGCCTGAACCTGTTTAGCCCAGGTTCTGCAGCGGCACCGAATGGCAGCTGAGATGAAGAACCGACGGGGCTGGCCGCATCTGCACCATGTCTATTCTAGGGAGCTTAATAGGGTTCCCTGGAGGGCTCAAAAAGGGTATGGTAAAGCTCTGCGGGATTCACATTACTACGATTTCTTCAGGCCGGTGACTGAAAGGTTTGTGTGTCAAAAGGCGTGGGCGTAGGATTTCGGATGTTGGGCACGGCACCCAGAGAGCCCAATACCACTTGGTGGAGGAATACAGCTTAAACCACAATGAGAAGCCCCATATAGCTTAAGGTATATTTCTTAAGTCAGGGGTGTTGGACTCTCTGGGTGAGGGTGCGCCATGTAGGTAGTTGTCAAAATTAAGGTCCCTTTTGAGTACCCTAAGCAATAGGTGCCGTATTCTAATAGGCACCCAAGAAGGGACCGTAATTTTGCCAACCACCCATATGGCTCTGAGGGCTTATTGTATCAGCCATTAGCACTGCCCATGCTGAGACATGGAAGTCTCCAAAAGTTTGGTCCTCGATCTATGGACGGAGTAGGGTTTAGGGTTCGGGAGCTTAGAGTTCAGGGTCTAGGTTTTAGGAGTTTAGAGTTTACGGCTTAGGAGTTTAGGGTTAAGTTTAGGGCCTCAAGTTCAGGGTTTGGGATGTATCTTGCAAGCCTTAAACTACCCGAAACCCTGAACCTTAAACCCTGCAGCATGAGCCTTGAACTTAGCAGGGCATGCTAAGGTCTAAAAGCCCAGTATCCTGAAGCCCCTTAGCCTGAACAGTAGGCCCTAAACTTCCTAAACCTTATCCCTAAGCCCGAAACCGCAAACCCCTCACGAGCCTCAAAACCCTTCAAACCCATATAAACCCCTAAACCCTATCCCTAAGCCCGAACCCCTAAACCCCTAAACCCTATACCCGTGTAAACTCTAAACCCCCTAAACGCCTAAACCCTAAACCTTATCGATCTCTTATAGATCCCTTAAAGGAACCCTAGGTAACCGTTTAAAACAGCTGGAGCCTGCATCGCATTCTCCAGGCTCGTGTAGGTCGCCACCTGGCTGACGAGGGAAATTTTACAGTCGGGGCTTGCAGGTGTATTTTGGGTAGTTCTCAAAGTCAGCGCACCCTTTTTAGGAACCCAAAATACTACATAAAAGGGGACGCTAATTTAGAGAGAACTGGCCATCTGGGATTTTAGAGTCTAAGGGTTGTTTCCCATTGCTTGTTCAGGCCTTAGGGTTGAGTGCTTGGCGGAGCTCAACCCTAAACCCTAAGACCCCAAAACCCTAAAACCCTAAACCCTAACCCCTAAAACCCCAAACCCCTAAAACCCTAAACCCTAAACCCTAAACCCCTAAACCCCTAAAACCCTAAACCCTAAAACCCTAAAACCCTAAACCCCTAAACCTCTAAAACCCATTGAACATGAGTGGTTGTAAAGGGCCTGAGGGGTCGAAACCAGGGCCCGAACGGCCTCGGTTTAGGCATTGCAATCAGGACGAACCGATCGAATGTAGGAACAGGTCGGAACCTTAGGGTTCCTTCAAAGGGGTCTACAAGGGTTACTATGAGGGATCTATAAGGGTACTTAATAACAATGGAACCTAATTAACTAAGAAACCTTGGGGCTTTGTTAGCGTTCCTTCCTACATTATCTATCTGTCTAGCCTGATCTAACCGGTAAGTTCAACTACTTTACTCGAGTTAATTCAATCTAACCTAGCCTCGTATACACTGTGTATCTACACATCATCTATCTGTTGATCTGTCTATGTAACTATCTTTCTTCTCTATCTCTACTACTAGGCTATCGCGTAGGGATTGGGGTTCAGCCCGAGAGCGCTGCGTCAAGAACCGAGGGGCCCCAGCCACAAAACTCCAAAGTTCAGTGCCCCAGCCCCCAAAAGGTGAAGCCCTTTCAGCCCTGACAAAGCCTGAGAAACAGACACTTAAAACACATACCAACAAACATGCAAACATGGATAGAACCTTTATCTTACAAAACCCAGACAAACATGACTAACCAACCACATATACACTGCCCTGTAGGGCACTGTGACAAATTTCAATGCTTTAGTTGCTGAGTTCATAAGCCCCCCAAAGTTTACACCTTTAGTTTTTTTGTGGGTAGTATTCTCCCACAAAGTGTAAAGTGTATTCACTCAGCTACTAAGATGCCATGTGTCCGTGTCACCTGCGTGGTGCAACCGGCGAGCAGGCCCTTTAGTGTCTCAAACTCCTCCACGACGGTGTAGGGCTTTAGGGTTTAGGGCTTCTTTCGGGCCAGAGTTCCCTGTTGGGGCTTCGGAGATCCTTTAAGGCTTGAAGGGTGTAGGGTTGCATTTAAGGGTCAGTTCAAGGGTCGAGGGCTGGGCTTTATTAAGTTTTCCTAGACCCAAGACCATCTTGTATAAAATGCGACGTCAACCAATCGAGGTCTAAGGGAGGGGAGCCCCTGGAACAAAAGGCAAGTCGTTCAACAATCCTGGCACGAGTTGATTCAGCAGAGACTTCTTTGACGAAGGTCTCATGGGGCTTTGGGGGCACACCCTAAACCCTAAAACCTCGGGGAAGAGCGTCCAAGTCCCAATCCCTGCCTTTCTCCATTTTGCAGCATTCGCCTTGAAGTAGACCCTAAACCCCAAACCCTTAAAGCGAACCCTATTGTAGAACCCTATAGTACCCTTAAAAGGAACCCTAAGTCTTATGTACGCCTTGAAGCAGAGTTGACATTCAATTTGTGGATTTCTTTGGGCGCACAGGCAACCGTTATCCTCAAACCCTAAACCTGTGACAGTAACACCTGCGCGAACACCTCAAACCCAAAGCCTCAAACCCCATGAAGGCGCCTGAATAATGGCCAATACCATTTTTGGGGGGGGTTCCTTATCATAGTTATGATTTCATGTAGGGGCCTTAATCATTACCTATACTTTTTTGGGGTTCCTTATCATAATTCTAGTGTAATGGGCCCCCAAAACCCTTTTCTAATTTTTGAGGCCCCTAATTCGCAAACCGCAGACCTCAACCACTGAACCCTAAACCCCAACACCCAGAGACTCCAATAACGGTTTAGGGTTTAGGGTTTAGGGCTCTTAAGAAATATGGCGCTTTAGGCAAAGGGCTTAGGGTTTTCAACAGTCTTCCTTTCTGCTCAAGAGTTGCTATGATTCTGAACCTGACTGCCCCCCTCCCTAAACTCTAAGCACCACTCTAACTAAGGTCTATGATAACTATTCAGGCTTCTATGCTGACCGAAATTGAAAGGTGGCATGAATCGAAAGGTCCGTTTAGGATTCTAGGCTTCGGGAGTTTAGGGGTCAGGATTTGAGGAACAGCAACTCACACGCGCAAGAAGGCGAACTTGAACCTCAGTTCGGACTCAGATGTTTAGCAAAGGGTGTGATTCGCATTTATAGTGCGGTAGAATCATAAAAATGAGCCCCCAAGGAATAATGCTGGTAATTTCTCAGGCTTCTATATTAGGGCTTTTGGGATTCGGGTTTGGGCTTTAGTGTTTAGAGTTTAGGCTTCTGTATTAAGGCTTTTGCGGTTCGGGTTTGGGCGTTAAGTCCTTGTGCACATTCAGCTGAGGGAACTGGTTGATCTTGGTGTAGAGGGGCGACGAATACCTCAGTCTCTCAAAGATCTGGAACTGGCTGCTACTGTACTATTTAAAAATACTACTTGCGCGATCATGGGCCTTACGAACTAAGGCTATATGTAAGGGAACTATTGGGCGGCAACTTAAGCGGGGAACGCCTACCAGCGGGGATGGGGCGTACCTAGAGGCTCGGACCGGGTCCGATTTTCACAGGGGTCATTTTTGAAGACTGCGGAGTGGTCCACTTTGCATGTTCATAGCGAAATCCATACCGAAATGAGGAACCGTGGATCGAAGGTTTTTGTTTTGCGAAGCCTTGATATGAAGTCGTGCATCATGGTTTGGAGAAGCTGTTCTTTTAAAGCTTTCCATGCGAAGAGGGCCTTGTGTTACCGTGCGGGCCAATGCAAAGTCTTTGCTGCAAAAATCTTGAACAGGATGGCTGGCCTTGTGAGCTTCCTTGATAAATCGACCAACATGTCTGTAGGGTTGGCACTGGACGTTGTTAAAGCAAAGCAAGCGTGTGTCATGCACAGGATGTCTGCGAATCACTCAGAGTCGACCTGCTCATAAAAAGGGCTGTGGTGAAACCATAGACAAAGGGTTTAGATCGAAGTGTACACCACCCAGGTAAGACAATCCACTTGTGTTTCAAGTGCATGCAGTGCAAATGCATCGGCACGCAAACAAGGGCTGAAATGCAGATGCACAGCAATGAACTGCCTAGAGCAGATCGTTCACAAGGAGGAATTGCAGCAGTGTTGCAGAGACAGAGAGCCAGCCAGGCAACAGGACGTGCACAGCAAGTGCCATGCAGAGACAGAGCAACTGCAGATCAAGCTCATTGCACAGGTTTATATTATATGTGTCCAAGCACATTCACATGTCAACTGCAGTTTAATGCTAAGGACCACGACTGCCGGGGCATTATTATATTGCCACCAGGGACCGAGGGCAGATCAAGTGCCAGCCAAAAACGTTTCAAGTGCAGCTGAAGGGCGAGTATCAATCATGGCATTGGTTCAGGAAACACAAGCAAAGCACAACTGATCCAGCGTGATTGAAACGCTTTTCAAGGGCAATTCAATGGTAAGTATGTTTCCGTTGTTTAACAGCGAAACCCAAACCAAATACAGATCAAGCGCATTTCAAGCGCATTTCAAGCGCATTTCAAGGGTAGGGAGGCTTGCCAGGCCTTGGAGGAATGCAAGGAGCAGCGCGTTTCAAGCGCATTTCAATAGTAAGGTGGATTCCAGAAAAGAAGAGGAGGTCCCAAAGCAAATGCAGATCCAGTGCCTTTCAAGCGCAGTTCAATTGCATTTCCAAAGAGAAGGATTCCGTGCTTTAACAGCGAAACCCAAACCAAACACAGATCAAGCGCATTTCAAGCGCATTTCAAGGGTAGGGAGGCTTGCCAGGCCTTGGAGGAATGCAAGGAGCAGCGCGTTTCAAGCGCATTTCAAGCGCATTTCAAGCGCATTTCAAGCGCATTCCACTAGTAACGTGGATTCCATAAAATAAGAGGATGTCCCAAAGCAAGCGCAGTTCAATTGCATTTCCAAAGAGAAGGATTCCGTGGTTTATCACCGAAACCCAAACCAAATACAGATCAAGCGCATTTCAAGGGCATTTCAAGCGCATTTCAAGGGTAGGGAGGCTTGCCAGGCCTTCGAGGAAAGCGCATTTCAAGCGCCGTTCAAGCGCATTTCAAGCGCATTTCAATAGTAAGGTGGATTCCATAAAAGAAGAGGAGGTCCCAAAGCAAATGCAGATCCAGTGCATTTCAAGCGCAGTTCAATTGCATTTCCAAAGAAAAGGATTCCGTGGTTTAGCAGCGAAACCCAAACCAAACACAGATCAAGCGCATTTCAAGCGCATTTCAAGCGCAGGGAGGCTTGCCAGGCCTTCGAGGAAAGCAAGGAGCAGCGCATTTCAAGCGCATTTCAAGCGCATTTCACTAGTAACGTGGATTCCATAAAATAAGAGGAGGTGCCAAAGCAAGCGCATTTCCATTGCATTTCCAAAGAGAAGGATTCCGTGGTTTATCACCGAAACCCAAACCAAATACAGATCAAGCGCATTTCAAGCGCATTTCAAGCGCATTTCAAGGGTAGGGAGGCTTGCCAGGCCTTCGAGGAAAGCGCATTTCAAGCGCATTTCAAGCGCATTTCAATAGTAAGGTGGATTCCATAAAAGAAGAGGAGGTCCCAAAGCAAATGCAGATCCAGTGCCTTTCAAGCGCAGTTCAATTGCATTTCCAAAGTGAAGGATTCCGTGGTTTAGCAGCGAAACCCAAACCAAACACAGATCAAGCGCATTTCAAGCGCATTTCAAGGGTAGGGAGGCTTGCCAGGCCTTCGAGTTCAAGCGCATTTCAAGCGCATTTCAGTAAAAAAATCAGAACTACTACAATATCCCTGGAACCATGCTCCCTGCGAGGTGTACGAGGAACCATTGCCATCTAAGCATGGGCCTCGAGTTGACCAGGTCCTCCGACACCGAGATCTCCTTCAGACCCAGGAGTGTGTCCATGATGCTGTTCAGCATCTTTTGTACTTCGTGTTCTGGAAGGAGTCCCTCGAAGATCCGGCGTGGAATGGCTGTCATCCACAGCCGCTTTCGACTTTGTGGAACACCGAACATTCGTGGGTCCAACTCCCAGACATGCAGCAAACGATCTGTCTTTGTGCTGATCAAGTGTCCGACATGGTCCAGGTTGGAGGGTCCAGTGCTGCCGTCGGCGTTACGGGTCTTGGTCTTCAGTCCGGCGACGTTCTCAAACAAACAGAAATTCGGTCCGACGAGGCCCGTCGACTGCAGGTAGTGAACGAGGCCCTGCAGCACGGAGCCAGTGCGAAGAGTGCCGTCGGCAACGCAGGATCTGTTGGCCGACGTGGACGACGACGGGTTCAGGACAGAACAATCCTGACATGGGAAGCCCGCCGTCATGACCGTACAGCGTGGCATGCGCACGAACGTGGTCGTTTTCGAGTCCCAGATTTCCTTGTCATATTCCAGGTCCGTCGCGTTACAGAACATGCGCTCGATCTTCCTGTCCGTCGTCAAAAGGAACTGGCGTTTGGCGGGCTCCTTCTCGCAGGCGAACTTGTGAGTGAATGCCGGCGAGTCCAGCTCCCAGTGGAAACGTGCCCAGTCCCAGAACTGCTTCATGACCGTCGCAGCGATGTCCATCCCACTGCAGATCGACCCGTATTGTCCATCGAGGAGCGTGCTTTCACGCACCAAGTCCTGACAGTATGCCACGTCCTCGGGGTCGAGCCTCCTGACCCAGAGCCTGAACAAGTCCTTCGTGCGTGTTGCATGCGCCGGCAGGGTACGTGGAAAGTGTTGCAGGCTGTACTTCGGAATATGAACCTCGACTTGCTTCACCACTTCTGCAGTACGGCGATGGGGTCTGTCCGGCGTGGGTAAGTCCTCCGGCTGGAACTGCAACGCTCGCCGCAAAGCCATGGGTAAGCTACGTGTACTGTACAGCGAGTGCCAGATGTTCTCTCAGGAAGCAGGACTAAGGAACCGGGAGACGATGAGTTTGCCGATAGGTATAGGCGTTCCGAACACAAGCCCCGGCCTCTCGTCCAATTATATAATGCTCTTTATGAATCCTGCTGAACGACGTGCTTTTATCAGTATAGCTGCCCCTGCATTGCACTGTTCAGATGATGTTCTGGAGCCAGAAGACTGACTTGGCTCTCTGGAGACCATCATGAAACCAGGTCGGAAAGGTTGACCCCATTCTTCCAGCAGCAGCAAGAAACATTGAAAAACAAAGCTTTCCAAATCGACAGTAAAAGAAATCCATTGGGAGCCTCTCTGCGACTAGTCCAACCGAAAACTAAAACCACATTCTACAAGAACGAACTAACATCATAGTGTAAGCAGCATTTCAAAACATAGGACATCTGAACATTCCATCCAAGACTGCACTGAACTGTGCGGCCGAAACCGTCCTTGAAGTGCTCCGTGTGTCGCTGCCAGAGGGAGAAGGGTGTGGCCTCTGCCCCAGGGCCTGCAACATGGAAATGGAAAGCATCTAGCCAAGGAGTGTGGGGGAACAGCGGTGTATTATCCTTAGGACTTCAGACACGCCTCTGCATGTACATGTTCTGTAGAACCTACAGATTCCAAATGGCAGAATGAGCGGCCCTTTTTATCCTTGCCGAAGGGCCGTCCTTGACATGCACAAGTCGGTCGTCAATCGTGTGACAGCGGGGAACTGAACAAAAAGAACCCAACCACAAAGTCTAATACATTATTCTGGTTTTCTGCAATCTTCTTAAGTTAATTCTCTTACGAGATTCAATGAACTGATTCAATGATTCGAAACATCGGGTCATCGAACAACGTGTGTCATGCAAAACTTGCACGGGCGAGTCCACCGGCGACAACATTCGTCATCTCTTGTCTGACATAAAATCATACTTTGCGAAAGACACGTTGGAAAGTTATAGCATTACGTACACCGGGGACTTGCTACGGCTCCTCTTCTTCGTCCAGCGACTGAATTGTCCTCGTGAAACGGCCCTGCAAATCCTTCAACAAATCGAGTGAGCTGCGCCTGTCCTGCTCCAATGTGAAGCATGAACCGAAAACGTGTGCAGAGATGTCGTCGTCCAGCAAGTGCAGGTCGCGTGCTCTCTCGCGCCATGCAGTCTGGAAACGAACGAGCGCTTGTGAGATTGTCGGCGTGTGCTTGACGAAGCCCTTCGGGTCGGGAGTGAACAGCGAGCGTGTCGTCTTCGCGTAGCAATCCCACGTCACCACACCGAGTGCCCACATGTCCGCCTTCGGGCAGATCTCCACCTCTTTCATCAAAGTGAAGCTGCTGAGCAGTTAAGGGAAACGACAACAAAATGAAACACATAGTCATACTTCCTGCAAAAAAACAAGTCAATTCTTAAAGACATGGCTGTTACTAGCAAGATATGAAGTTTTTCAGGCTATGTCTTTGACTAAGAAGCTGAGTCTACGACTGCATGTGCTGACATGACTCTTCTATGAATCAAGAAT